TTCATCTTGCATTTCTTCAAAATGAATGATTTTGGTTTATTAGGGATTCAAACAGAAAGCAGAGAACAAAAAAAGTTAGTTTCAAAATATAAATCAGTAAGCAGTTTAAAGTGTCAATGCAGAGGCAAATGGCAAAGAAAATAGAAAAACACAGCCTAGCTCTTTACAGCCCTACATTAAGCTGCTTGCCTGCTTCCCTAAAGATGTGTGATCTCCATAGTGCAATTCCCCTGGTGCCTGTGACAGGCCCTCATTCTCTTTCCAGGAAACCTTCCCTCCTTGAACTCCCTTTCTTAGCAGACCTTATCTCTTTATTCCCTTCCCCCTTCCTGCGGGAGAGTCTCCAAAAATATTGTGTGCAAGTTTGGCTGATTCTCTGCTTATTGCTAGTTGTCAGCTCAGAGATGGGTTTTCAGGGATTCCTCCATTGTTTGGGCACCTGGGCAATTGACCAGTCAGTGCATTTGAGAGTTCCCTTAGCGGATTTGCAAGCTCTCTCTTTCTCTATCTCCCCCCCACCCACCCACCCACATTTCCTGTGTGGGTTTTTTTGTGGGAAGGCAGAGATACTTGCCTCTCAAGGACCTCAGCCAGGGCATTTGCACCTGTATGCCAACATCAGTGGCTTTTAGCAGAGGCAGGCAATTGGCTTATAAAATGGGTGTTTCTGCTCTCGGAGCTGGCTAAGATGGAGTCAGTGTGGTCTGGCTGAATGGGCCAGATCACACTTCCTAGCCATTACAGGCCGGCCATAATGGATAGCCCCTGCCATTTTTAATAAGCAAGATGCAGTGGGGGGGGGGCACTATAGCTTGTCATTACATGCATATCTGAAAGAGGGTGGTTGAGGCACCAGGCAAGGCACCTCCAGCCCTAAAAAAGGCCATGGGTTCTGGGTGACTTGGTAACCATTCCAACAACTTTACAAGGTTGTGCAGTGACAAGCTGTGGGGCATCCTCACCATGATTCAAATATTCAGAATAGCCACTGTTGCCTTACTGAGAAGCCCCATGGGGCAATTCACCTGGGGGCACTGCTTGCCACAGTCACGTCAATGTTTATTTGAGCACTTATTTTAGAAACATAACGTATCTTCTATTCTGTATATCTCCAGGTGGGGCCATCATAATGATCTCCCCCACTCCTCCATTTATTGTACAGTTTCTTCTTCCTGGCATAGCATCTATTTCTTCTAATTTTACACCTGACACAGAGGAGAGGGAGCTGGCTTTTAAAAACTGGTAATGACAAATGTATTTGTCATGGACAGCTGTTGAGATACTCCCATTAGACTTCCCCAGGGGATGAACTTGGGCTCCGTTCTCTTGCTTGTCAAGACGGGAGGGTGTCTGCTGCTGCAGTTGCCTCGGAATACTATGCCGTTAGACCCCTCGAAGCATCCGAGCGGTTTGGGGGCTGGTGCGCGGCTCTCTCAAGTGTCAGGCACCTACGCAGTGCCGAAGCCTGGTCTGTTTAACTGTGTGTGTAAAAGCAGCATGCCTAATGAATACAAGGGGCAAGGATTGATTATGTCCTGGACTCGGAGGCTGCAGCCATCTGTGAGACAGCGTTCCATCTAGGCTCGCTATGGAAAATATGAAGGAATGTTGAGGAAGCTTATTTGCAAAAGGATATGTACCCGTAAGCAAATTTCTCATGATTTTCCCCTTTTACTTAGAGAGAATTAAGAAGAGTTTGGTTTTTGTTTTGGTTTTTTTTTTTTAAAGATTTCTTTCTTCCTTAACTGACATAATAGTGAGCAGACAAAGGCCTCTTTAAGCAAGGCACGTGTCTGCATGTTGCTAGATTTTGTTCATAAATGGGATTTGGGTCACAGACTGGAAGAACCAGCAAGGATGGTAAATTGATAAGCACAGGGAATTGGATATTGTCTTGCTTTGTGTCCACCAAACTGGATTGGATATAGTTTATCAAATGTATAGTGCTATCTAACCCTTCTTATAAACTATAACTAAACCTATCAGCTGTCTTACTCTGGTGAATTTCAATTTTCCTTTAGTGGGTGTATCTGACTGTCTGCATCTTATTTCCTGAAGTCCATGCTTGGCTTTTATCCTACTCTTTGTTTCTCTTTTTGCTCTGCACATGTGCTTGCTCAGTGACCTGATCTCTTGTATTGCATGAGTTAGATTACTCAAAATGAAATTGAAGCATGGAAATGTAATTTTGGTTTACTCCAGGAAGTAATTGGAATGAAATATTTTTGACTGCCGATAATTATTAAATGCCATTTTGTAACTTTTCTTGAGAAATGCTGTCTTTTTGTAACTTAGGCTTAAATGCCAAGCAGTTTTACTGGACTGTTATATAAAACATTTTTTTATTTCTGTTATAAATATCAAATAGGTCTTTCAAAAGAAAAAAAATGCAAAGCATGGTTTTCATTTGTTTTGTTATGGTATAAGTAACCACACCCTTGATGAGTGTATATCTGAGAGACAGGGAAAGAAAGAGAGAGGAGGCAACAATAAAGCGGGTTTTCTGCTTTCAAATAAAATTCTTGGCTTTGGTAAAATAGCAGTGGTTATAATAATAAACAAAGGTATATTTTGCAGTTATTCTAATGGAGGTGACTAAATCTCATTTATGAGGAAAAGAATTATAATTAAGATGATTTTCTCACTTGAACACATGACAGTTTACAAAAGTAAGACCAGTTTAAGCAGATACATCTTCCTTTCCTAACACTCTGTGTGTTTGAGTCTACACCCTGTTACGAAGGCATCATGAATGAACTGCATGGATCTAGAGGCAGTTAAACCTGAGGGAGCGGCTTCATTCATAGGCATCTGTCTTTCAAGTCTTTCTATGTCTTTCATGTTACTTTTGTTCACATTTGAACTAGAGGGACACATGCTTAACCTGAGCTACTGAAAAGACATTGTCTTGAAGTGATGATTTTGGACTGACTTGATGGGCGATAACATCCATGAACATTTTGACGAGCTCATCAGAACCATTAGGACAGGCTTATTTCGATCAGCCAAGCTCCAAAGCACTGTGGAAATGGTCTTGTGAACCCAAGAGAGTTATGCTCTTACCTTCCTCTATGTTTTTGAAAAGGAGGAACCTTCCTAAACAGGTTGTGGCAGGGTGATGAATTTTGCTGTCCAAAGAGAGCAAAAATACTCTGCTGGACTCAAGCATGCCACTCGCGTAAGCCCGAGCAGTTCTTTCGATTTCAGTCCATATTCATAAACTCTGTAGCAGTAAAAGAGAATCAGTGACACCTGAATCTTGGCAGAAGTCTAAGAGTTTGCAGCATGGGGATTTCTTTTTGAAAAGCATTGGTTAATTGTATGATTTAAATAAGTCCATGTCACTAACCACCATATCACTTCACTGCCCATATGGTTCAAAGCTAGGGGAGACTGACAGACCAAGGGACACAGTAATAGTTCTGCTTCCTCCCCCCTGCTGCAGACAGCTTCTCCCCAAGGAATTAGAATGGGAAGACCTTTTCCTCAGTGGGCTGTGGTGGACCACAGCTATGCCCATTTCTGGGGCACCAGCAGGCATGGCTTCTCTCAGACCGTGTGCGTGTCCCTCCCTGACAGCTGCATAGCTTTGCTTGAAGCCTTTGCCCTGTCAAACTAAGAGTTACTTAACTGGTTGAAGGACAGTCATATGTCAGCTTCCTTTCCTACAGTGGGATAGTCCCCAGGGGGATGGAGTAGAAAGACCTCTTCCTCTGGGGGCTAGATCAGTGCACCACGTCAGGGACCATGTCCAGGGGTTCCAACAGGCATGGCTTCACTCAGATGAGGTAGTCACAATGTATCTAACTCTGACACCTGCCCAGGTTTGTTTGCTACCTTCACTGTATCAACCGAAGGACTGTTTCCACCCATGCAAAGCCAAACCCTTGTGTTAGTTTCTACGAAAGCGATAATGAAATTGAATTTTAAATAAAACCATACAAAAACTGCACAAATGCTAACATACTAGCTGTAATCTCCCAATGTTGGCCAACAATATTATTACCACATTTCTAAAATTCATTTTGGTGGCCTAAGTGTAGGCATTTCTTGATTGAGATGCCACAAGAGAGCATGCTTTGCTCTGGGCTACCACATACACACAAGAAAATGTCCTTAATATGTCTGAAAGTGGTCTAAAGAAATAAACTGTTAGTTGTATCTGTAAAATACTGTTTTTTTCAGTTGTTTCTTGCAAGTAATGTGAATGAATGCAGCCCCTCAATGTAATTGAATACTTCAAACTGGGTACAGGGAATATAATACCACATACTAACTCAGATGAATAATTTGGAAAATATGTAAGGAACAGCTAATATTTTCTCAAGGGCAAGAATGGAAAGACGCACAAAAGATGTCATGTCTGTATTAGATTTAAAATAAGCAGACAGATTTTTCTCAGTCTTTATGGAGCAATCTTATGGGTGAGGGACGCAGTGATGGTAATAGCAGGTAATTTGGGCAATATGGAGGAGAGTCATGTCAATGTTATTAACTGATCTGGCCAAGCCATGTAACTTGATGATCATAGTATTCCTTAAGGCCAAGCTTTGTCCTGCTTGGAAGTTCAAGAAAGTTCAAGGAGTAACTGACTGTGGGTAGTACATTTGTACTACTTTGGTTACTGCTTGAGAAAGAATAATGGGTGTGATTACTTGATAGAGTCTTTTTCTGGCTGCCAAGAGATATCAGTGATGGAATTGCATTTAATCACATAATGGAAGAGATTAGGGAGATGGAATGGAAGAAATTAAGAAGATTGTGGATTAAGGTTGTTTCTCAGAAATAAGCAAGCTGTACTTTCCACAGTGTTTTTGCTGAACATGTGGGCCAGCAAGAGTAATTCAGAGTTCCCCCAATCTTAAAAATGCTTTAAGATTTGGAACATATGATGTTGGATCTCAGGTTTGCCTTCTGCATTCCTATAGAACAAATATTGTCCAAAATGGGAGAGGACTATGCAACAGATCTCTGAATTTCATCTTGTGCTTCTTTTCAAGATAAAAACTTTGATGATGATGACTCTGTGGATGGGAACAGGCCTTCCTCAGCCAGCTCTTCAACATCTTCGAAAGCTCCATCAGCCTCTCGAAAAAGTGGGATGGGGACCACTCGTAGGGTTGGAACAGCTACTGTAGTCTCAAAGGCTCCAGGTAGGTCAGGCCTTTTGTCAAAAATGCCTATGTCTAATGATAAAATACATGCTTTCTCTGTTGCTTTTTTTTTTTTTTATTACCCATTTGGAATCACTTGATGGAATAGGAGAAAATAACTTCTAGGATATTGGGCTGATTTGGTGGTTTGAGATACATACTAAAAGACTTCCTAAGCATGTTGGAATAACCTCATGTCAGCTTAGTGTTACATAACTAAATTATTCATAATATTTATAGGAAAAAATCCCCCTTCCTCACATTTTGAAAAATAAGACCAGAATTCTCCTGTACAAAATCTTCATTTCTATGTAATTTTCAGGGGTTCCATTAAAGCCAGTAGCTTTAAGGTACTAAGCATATTGTATGGACTTAAACTGGATGGAGACTAATATATTTCCGAGTAGTATCTTCAGGAAGCTTTCAGGGTTTGTGTGTCAGACAATAGCCCCGTCTAATTAATGTTTTAAAGACTTTCCTTCTTCGGCTCATCTGCCTGTCTTCATCATACGTCCCTGTCAAGAATACCACACTTTCATTAATTATAGATGGGACCATATCCTTAAGAAAAGAAGGCATCCCTCTACTTTGCCTAGTATTCTGTCTTATCTTATCAGACTGTTTTAATTATCTCTTTAATAAAAAACCTTTTTGTATATGGATTGTCTATATAAGTAGAGATAAGATATAATTTACATGCTGCTCTTAAGATAAAAGACTTCTTTGTGGTTTCATAAACTTGTTTTGTCTGTTACATTCCTGTTCTGTTTTAACATTATCTAATAAGAAGCATAAAAACACTCTTTCCCTTCTACATGTACCAGCAACTAAGGAAGGAGCTGGAGCTGTTGATGAAGAAGACTTTATTAAAGCTTTTGAAGATGTTCCAACAGTTCAGGTAAACAGTAATACAGTTAAAAACCAAACAGTGCACTAAGACATTTCTTTATCAGTTAGAGCACGTTTTCTTTGAAGGTGCTGCTTGAAATTTCCTATTGTGAGTTAAGCACACAGCCAAAAGTATCAGAGAAGGACGATGCTTCTCATTACTTGAATATGGTGAACTTGGGAACTTCTTCCCTCATTGCCTCTTGAGCAACAGATCCTCCCATCCACCCACCAACTTCTTACTTTCAACATGGATTGAAGAGTTATGACTTAACCACTTCTTGATTCAAGCCTCTTAACCAGCGTTAAGTTTTCAGCAGACCAGAATTTAGGTGTGTTGTTGGCACATGACAACCAATCACTTTAATAACTGATGCGTTACTGGTTCTGTGTGCCCTCCACTTCGATTTAACAATACAGCCCACAAATGGCTCCTTTGTAAATTTCAGTTCAGAAGGTAAGAATTAAATCACAGAGGAAAATAATACATACTTTAATCATAAGCACAAATTCTGCAGACAAAAAGATAATATTGTGTTGGAACAAAGAACCTTATATCAGTGAAGGGAAACAATCAAATACAACATAAATGGTTTTTGAAGTATGTTCATGTTTTAGTACATTCAGTACTTTGGGCAAAATGTAGAGAAAGTTTGGCAAAATGAAGTCCCATTCCGTTTCCTGCCTGCTTGTCTTTGGACACTTTTATAGTAATTAGGAAGTCATTGGTAAGTGGGATGGGTGGTGGTTTGGTAGGAAGGATATGTATTTCCTTAAATGCAGGTGAAATAGAAATGGTGAAACTACAATTTATATTACATTGTGCTTCTGCACACTACGTTAAAGTATGGATATGTGGCTGAGTTGCTTGCAGAAACACCAGAAGGAATTTAGCAGTGTCTTCTCAAGAGAGGGGCCAGCTCACTCCACTGGTATGAAGCATGAAACCATCCTACAGGATCCCTGTGTTGAGTTGCTTAGAGGCAAGTTCAAGAATTGTGAAACACAGAAACAGAAGGGGCCTCCAGGACCATCTAGTGTGACCTCTGGCTCCAGGTGGCTCTGCTCATGACATGGCGGAACCAGCTGAAGCCGGAGGTCAGAAAGTATCTGTCATTTTTTAAAAAGTCACTAAGTGTATCCTTTACTAAAATTAAGTATTGTTGCAGTTCACTGAGGGATCTAAACTCCCCAGAGCTGCTTTGGTGTTCCCTTAATGACACAAGGGGGAAAGAACAGGATGTACATATTAATAGAACTCTGGAGTTCTGGATTTAACTGTATTGGCCACTGTGCTTCAATTTAATGTAGCATAATATAAAAAATGTAGATGAACTGGTAATTATTGTAAGGAATTTAATTAACTGGAGGAGGCAAGTTCAGCATCTAAGGAAGCTTGACTTGTATCTTGATAAATGCTTTTTATACTTCATTTTTTAGATATATTCTAGCCGAGACCTGGAAGAATCCATAAACAAAATCAGAGAAATCCTATCTGATGATAAACATGATTGGGAACAAAGAGTAGCTGCAGTAAGCATTTGATTTCATATGGTCTGTTGATAAAATACAATCTACTTAGCACGCACTGCTTACATCTTATGTGACACTTACAGGGTTGGCTGCCATTCTGTGGTAAGGTGAAGAATAGCACTACATCTGTTTCACCATTACATTCATGCATATGGAAATGTGCCTTCCTGTATTCAGTATCATTGTATCATATCTTTCAATTTCTATTTTGTAAAAGGGAAAAACCTAAAGAAGAATTTATATTTTAATTCTCAGGGTTATAAAAAGATGTTTAATCAGGTAGTATGCTCCAGTGTAGATCTCCATGTTTGTCTTGCAGGCCTTTAAATGCATTTTACTGTTGTTGCTAAGATACTGCTATTTATTACATTTTATTTTTTATATTTTATCTTGTTTTGAAGTTTTGCAGAGGGGCTATATATAATTTTTTAACAGCACGATCAATAAATGAATCACTTTTAAAACTCTTCTGTAGTGTATTTACATTTGCCCTACAAATCAGTAAGATGTTCACTGACAAAACAATATATTCACTTTATCTTCTAAATTCTTGTTACACCAGCTGAAAAAGATCCGGTCTTTATTGTTGGCTGGAGCTGCTGAATATGATACCTTTTTCCAACTCCTGCGCCTGCTTGATGGAGCATTTAAACTCTCCGCTAAAGATTTGAGATCCCAGGTAGTCCGAGAGGCTTGTATCACATTGGGGTAAGAAATTTTCTGCATGTAATTACTGAAGAGGGATGCTGTGACTGGTATCTCAACCAGTCTATTCTGTAGTGGGAAGGGTGAGGGTGCACTGAGTTGAACTGCCAAAGGCTAGAACACAGATGGACAGATATCACACTTGCAGGATCATCTTTGTTTGGTAGCTGGAACCCCCAAAACCACCAGCTGGAGCCAAGGGCAAAAGATATGCAGAATTAAAATACTTCTGAGCCCAGGAAATTGTTTTGAGTGTAGTACCAAACTTGAATTAAACTCATAGTACTTTTACATGAAAAATCTGCTCCTGGTTACCACAAGCATTTCCCATTTCAGCAATATCATTTATGACAGAATAAGAGAATGTGTTTTGTTGATGCATTTGTTAAAAATGTGGCGGTCAGGAAGCTTTACTGATCTACTGCAAGTCAACCAGCGATTCACTAGTAGATCCAGAATCTATCCTTTGCCTAACTCTGGTCCAGAATCTACCCTTCACCAACTCTTGGTCACTTTCCCCTGTAAATCTTTGGCTTCCACTCGTATGGAGACCCTGTTGCGTATAAGTTGCTTATAAGATAAGCAACCAGCTTCATTCCACCTCATTACAAAGAAGGGCAGAAAGCCCACTTTGGTCTGCTGTACTATAAAATGGGAAGCAATTATTCTTAATTCCAGTAGCAATCTTCAGCACTATTTTTTTTAACATCAGCTAAGAGTTACATAGAAGATAACTGATCTTATATTCCTGTGTTTTTCTGTGAGCTTCCCCAGTAACTACTTAATGATTCGGAAGCAGAAGTTATGAATAACTAGTCATGTTCAGTTTAAAGCACATCAGCACATCATTCCAGAACAACCTGACACATGGCATGCTGATTGTAATAAAATGTTCATGTGACACTGGAGTAGTTAAAGGACACATTTTGTTACAGGGATGCTAAGAATTATTTGATCCAAAGCTGCTGCCCTCATGCAGAATGTAAATGATTTTTCAGCCTTGCAGATTTAGAATATTATTGTATTGAACCCTTTCGGCATGAAACTAAATTCCCACAATTTCTTGACCCCAGCTTACCGGTATGATACCGGTTTAGAGCTTTAGTGTTGCAGTGTGTGCTCATATATGGCAATAATAGTGCAGTCCTACGTATGTCTAATTGGAAGTAATTCCCGCCAAATTCAGTGTAGCACCACTGATACATGTGGGCACAAAAGAGCTTCCCCATTATCTTTTATTTACCAGCTTCCTTAAAAGTTGAAAGATCAACCATTAATCATTTTCCCTGGAAAACTCCCAACACTGCCATGGGCTACTGGTGTGGCACTGGAGATCTCTCACAGTAGCACCATATCTGTGTGAAAGCAGAATGGCAGGATTGGATACTGGCCAGTCTCTTCTCACCCTGCCAGTAATTCAAGCATTGAGATAAATTGTTACTGAAACTATGAAAAAAGAGCTGTAAATCCCACCCGTATGGACATATTCCAATTAATGTTTCTAACAAGGCATGACTGTCCTTATATCTAACCTTTAGGCTAAATGCTACAGTATTATTTCAGACTAGGAAACAGATCTAAAAATAGCTATGGAAAGCTATAATATTCGCTCTAGGTTCAACCTGAGTTCAGGGTGAAAGTTCAGGCAATTCCTTTGGCCCAGGGTTCCTATTGGTAGGAATTTTATACTGGAGTCTGCAAAAAGTACTGACTTTGAGGGAAGGGCACAAGGGCATTTTTAATAGCAGCTCTAACTTTCGCACATGTCAGTGCAAGATGGAAGGCCCAACCTGAAACTGACAATGCTGGCAAACCAAACAATTCAGCTGCGCCTTCTGGGCTGTTCTCTAATAGGATGACCGTGACCTGTGCTGAATTTATTGCTAGTTATAATTCATATGGAAAATAAATCAGCTACTGGGAGAGAAAATCAGGGAATGTTTTCTTGATGCATATGGCATTGTAATCTATTGGTAAAACTACAAGAATTGAAAATAGCAGAGGACCACCAGTTCTAAATAACATATGACTATCTTGATACTGTTGTTGTTGTTATTGTTATTTTGACATGATTCCTGTTTATTTCAGGCATTTGTCGTCTGTCTTGGGTAACAAGTTTGACCATGGGGCAGAAGCTATCATGCCAACGATCTTCAATCTCATTCCCAACAGTGCCAAAGTCATGGCCACTTCTGGTGTAGTAGCTGTTAGATTAATTATTCGAGTGAGTATCTCTCAGTGCATATATGCTTTGTGTCACTTTGGAACATTCTCAATTAGACTAATAGAGGGGATGGAAATGTGGGAACCAATCCACTTAACAGACACTCTAGCATAATCTTAAATAGTGTCTGGCAGTCAAAAGAGAAGTGTGCTTGCTGCTTATATAATGTGTATGAGTGCACTTATGCCAGTTTCTATGTTCTGTATAGAGCACAGCCAAATATTGGAATTCCTGCAGTGTATATTGTTCCAAAGTTGGGCCATATTGATGATTTCCTGTTGTTTATTATTTATTTCACTTCTAATTTTCTGTTTGTGAAACACATCTATATCTAATTCCAAGTAAGCATAATTGCTTACGGACCTATAACTATGTAATCACAGGTTTTGTGGAAATAAAGCTAGTGTGGCTAGTGAGGCATTTTTCCCTCCGTTTTTCATAATCCTGGAACCCATGAAGCTGATTGCTGGGACATTCAGGACAGATAGAAGGAAGTACTCCTTTACACAGCACAGAGTTGAATTATGAAATGTCCTTGCACAAGATGTTGTGATGGCCGCTAATATGAATGACTTTAAAAGAGGATTGGACAAGTTCGAAAAGGATAAGGCTATGAGTGATCAGTAGTAATGATGATTCTGTGCTACCTCCAGTTTCAGAGGTGGTACACCTCTCAATATCAGTTTTTGGGTAACAAAAGGAAAGGTACCATTTCACTCATGTTCTTGCCACCTTCTCACAAATGTTGATTTGGCCACCGTTTGATGGACCTTTGATCTACCCTGATTGCTGTTACATTCATATGTGGATGTAGGACTGAACAATGCAGGGTTGTAACTCAGGTATATTAAAATCTGTACCAAGAAAAGCTAACTATTATATAAATTGTGTGCATTGAAACTGTATACATCTGTTTATTTTGTATAACTTACTCTGCCAAACATGGAGAGGGGCAAAGGGCTCTGTTTTCGCGGTGAAGCAGTTTGCAGTGTGCCCGCTTGACTTAAGTGCATTCTCTTCATTTTAGCATCTAGTTAGTTTTAAAAAGTTTACTTTCAAGAATCATCAGGTTTTCCTCATTATTGTTCTTTCATTTTCCAGCATACGCACATCCCTCGACTAATTCCCATCATCACCAGTAACTGTACCTCCAAATCTGTTGCAGTTAGAAGGTGAGGTTTTTTCCCCTAAAGAGCTGATTTAGCAAAACCTAGCTTTTATCTTTAAAGTGAATTTTTGCATGTTTCTCAGTGTATCTCTAGTACCTGGGTTTTCTTCACACAACAGACATTGTAGGTGCAGTGAGGAGCTTATCCCTTACTTGAACCAGCTAGCCTTTTAAATGCATGATCTTTTAATATCAGTCAGACATGTTACTTAGACTTGAGTGTTTGTAACTTTACTGCTGAATAAATGTAATTTGCAGCATGAGGGGCTCTTCCTGATTACCATTTGCAAGAAGTAAATGTCAGTCTTTCAGCATATGCTTCTGCTTCCTATATGCTTGCAAACTAAACTCAGCATACAGATATTGGCCTATAATATCCTAAACAGTATGGATGTTACTTCCTCTGAAAAGTTTACCAATTCTTCTAGGCAATCTGAGACCAACTAGAGGTACTCACTTGATTATAAGTTGCAAGCTCATAATTGGCATCTAGAATATTATAGTGGCTGTACTTAAGTTATGCAACAGAACTCACTCGGATGTTTTCCAAAGTCTAAGCATTTTCCAGACATGTATTCTTCTGAAGTGCTGACAGTTAGAGACCTTGGATTCACTTGGTATGGACTGTGCAAAAATATTTTGGGGGAATTGCAATTTCATAAATTATACTTAATCTGTTTTAAAGCACTTTGTCATCTGTATGAAGACTTTAGGAAAATAATGTTCTTTCCTCTTATTCTTTTAGGCGCTGCTTTGAATTTTTAGATTTGCTTTTGCAAGAATGGCAAACTCACTCCTTAGAAAGGTAAGACGTAGTATAATAATAAAGGAAGTATTTTTCTTTTATGACTTTTCTGGGGGAGGGGGTAAAATTTTCTGATGGGAGGAGAAGATGAGCTCTATCTGGCTCTTCTGGGCCTCAGCTGCCACCTCATAGCAGCTGTCCTGGTGAGCTGAAGCAGAAGGGCAAATATGAAACAGCTATGTGCTCAGATCTTCTGCGAAACCAGATCTCCTTAGTTCATCCTGCCCTTGAATGAGTTCCATCTCAACTGGCCATTAAAAGAATTGCTATGCAAAATTAAGGCCTGGTGCATAAGTTTGCTTATTTTCCTCTTCTCTTATCCCTTCTGTGTCACTTTCAGACACAGGTCTCTACCGCCCACCCTTTACCTCTACAGTGGACGGGTCACAAAACCACATGCATCAGAGTAATGTTCTCTTTGAGATATGGGAGAAGCATCTGTCCATGTAAAGCGCTGCATCCAAACAGAGACTTCCTCTTCTTCCTTCCCTTTCAATAAAGCTTCTGGTTCCCACAGCCCCCAGGCTGGGCAGCAGGAACACCAGACTTTTCTTAGCTGGCCTACTCACTTCCTCTGTCACACCATCAAGGAACTCCTCCCACCCTGTTCTGAAATGTCCACCTCCTTTTCCAAGGTGGGCTGGTTCTCACATTCTGAGAATCTTCACTAGGTAACCTTGAAACTGACAAGCTCTCTGCCCACCTCTGCTCCTCTGCCTCCTCTTCTGAATCTGAAGAATCCGTTTGAGGAGACTATAACTTGAGAGAGCTGGGACCCTCTCTGCAGTCATGCCTTGAAGCTTGTAAGTCTGTGGGAAGGGACTGTCTTGTCTTTTTTGGTCACACGAGTTGCAGGAAAGGTTCACAATCTCCTGAACTTGCATACATTTGTCCACTGCCATATATGTACACACCACCAAAAATCCATATTTTTTACGCTTTAGCCTTTGGGAGGCACATTCTTTCCCATTTACAGAAAAACAACCCCAAGATGCTCAATTCGGGAACGCAGATAAGGTAAAACCAGCTTCAGGGTAGGATTCCGAAAACCTTGACAAGCTCAGACATTGTATGTTCCCTCATCCCTTGCTGAGAGCTAATTGAACTACATTTGGCATCACATACTCAGAATGAAAAGAGAACCAGAGTGTGGGAGATGTCTGTAATACACTCCAGTTCACCTTTGACTTCCTCCGTTAGGCAGGAAAATAGAATGGGCAGGTAAACATTTTCTGCTGGAAAGTAATAAGAATATTGGAAGCCTGTCTGCTCATTTTGGTCCAGTAGCCTCCTTCCCAAGGGAACGTCATTGGCTTCTCCACCCATTCTATATCAGCAAGGTCCATCCCTAGGGTTTTTGTGAGGATTTAATCTCAGGCAAACTGACTGCTTTCCTTTTCCTCATAGTAGCTGGGCAACGGAAATTGCATCCTTCTGACCGTTTTGTTGTTGAATATGTGCAGTTTTTCTGTAGTAACATTTGCTCAACCAGTTGGCGTCACAAGCGCAAAACAATGTAGATGTTGGTGCAGATGATGTCCATCCCATAGACATCCTGTGGATTTCTGTATGGCTTCAGTGCAATAAGTGTGCTTTAGCATCTCTATTTTTAAGGCTTCTGTAGTTTCCAAGTAACTAAGGCTGCTTAGTTCTTATTTTGGTGTCTTTTATCCAAGGGAATAAATTGCAATAAATCTGCATTTATTAAACAAATGCAAATCCTAAAGAAGACTATCGTACAGAAAAAAAAAGTCCTCAAGCTGGATAAACTTCTTATAAGCTTTAAGTGCAGTGGCGTAGGAATGGCTTTTGCCCCCTCTCCCTTACAAATTAAATTATTTATCTTCAGGCACATATCAGTATTGGCTGAAACAATAAAAAAGGGAATCCACGATGCTGACTCTGAAGCGCGGATAAAAGCCAGAAAGTAAGTGGATTTTTTTTCCTTTTAATCACTGATTTCATTGAATATCATAAGCTGCTATTTGCTGTACAGCTGAAATAAAGACGATAAACAAATGCAGACATCCAAGGAGCTTACTTCATAGTGAGGGACAGTATTAGACACTCGGAATTCACAAACTGGCTAGAAATGTGTGTGTGTGTGGGGGGGGAGGTACTGCTGTTTTATTAATATAATAAAGAATTTATTGTAAAGCATCGAGTACACAAGGGTAATTCAGAACTATTTTGAATAAATAAGGAAGTGCATTGTTCTCTCTGGATGACTCAGGATTCAGTCTTCTGTAAACACTTAACCTGGGTCAAACCCCAGGTGTGCTAAGTTATATTAAACACTTCTAACTAGACTTACTTAGGAGTAAATTTTCAATTTGTAATTGTTTTAACTTGTTTGGCATGGTTGGTTCTGAAGAGTAGTATGTGCTTCAACTAACTGGGCTTGTGTGACTTGGCACTACATCATGGCTAACTAACCATAATGGCTTGTTTCGTCATCTAACCCAGACTGCTTCCTACAAGACTTATTTTTCGGGAAAAAAGCCACACCTTGACAACTCATGCTTTTTGAGGGTTGGGACAGCATGATGTCAGAACCCAGAAGAGCAATTTCATTGCGGTTAGTGAGCCAGTCATCATCAGGAGCCGCCAAATCCCTTGATGCTCTTTGCAATCTTTGCTCTTGTTGGCACCAGAATGGGAGAAGGCAACAAAATTAGGTGCATCAGAACAGAGCAGGTGGGAGAACATTAATGTATCCTCCTGACAATGTGATCCTCTTGATTTTAAGTGTTCAGCTGACACTTCCAGCTAGTCCAGAAAGGGAAGATGCTGGCTCCCCTCACCTTTTACAACCTCTCTTTGGAGCACTTACGAAGTTATTGTGGTTCCTGCCCATCTCCCCACACCCTCCCAAAAGCCCTGCACATATATATGAAAATTTAATGGCTGAAAAGGAAATGGAGGAGAAATGTGTGGATCTGCAGTAAGAGCTGCAAAAAGTGTGGGGAAGTTAATATCCCCCCTTTTTGGAATAATTGCAAAAGAGTTGAAAAGGTGGAGGGTGCTGTGAAGTGTCAGCTCCATACTTAAAAGTAAAAGGATCAGATTGCCAAAGGGAGGATACCCCCTCATTTTGATGGCCCTTTGTTTGTGGTGCTTTTCCTTTCAGCAGTGCAGTTGAGCCATGCACAAATTAGCTCTCTGCAGTTTCTTCTTGTCTGTTGCCATGTATGTAATCTGTTCCTCTTTGCTGCTCCCTTTGGCAGCTGAAAGGTACAAGAAAATTGACTGGGGAAGACTATATTTATTGCACAGTTGTAAAAGTGCACTTGTGCATTCATGCAAGATTAACAAACTTGTGGTTGTTATTGTTAAAAATTATTATTATTAATAATAATATTGGTAATACTGATGTCAGACCTTTTCATGCCAAGTAGTTAAACTATTGAAGACAGTACATGGAAGATTAATACTTTATCTGAAAACAGATAGATGTAAATAAGCTTCTTTTGATTATATTTGTTGATTCTGCCTAATCCACTTGGCTTTTTGTTTGGTCAGCATGCACAATATTCTCTCTGATCATTAGGTTTCGTCATGTTCAGTGACCAGTTCATTTTATTTCCAGGTGTTACTGGGGCTTCCACAGCCACTTTAGTCGAGAAGCGGAACATTTGTTTAATTCGTTAGAATCCTCATACCAGAAGGCTCTACAGTCTCATTTAAAGAACTCTGATAGCATTGTGTCTTTGCCTCACTCCGATCGCTCCTCCTCCAGTTCCCAGGAGAGCCTCAAGTAAGCCCTTCACCTGTTTTTTCTTGCCACCATGTCAAGTTAATAACTAAGAATAAGCTGTCCTGTCTATCTTTCCATGTATTCATCTGCATTTGTGAAGTGGTACTGCTCCTAGCTTACAAGATACACTTGTTCACCCTTGTGTGTGTCAGGTTGCAGGTGGCTGCAAGGACATAGGGAGGTCAATAAACTCACCTTTAACTTCACATTAATGTATCTGAAGAGCAAAGATGCTGATTTTATCTGGGCTGGGGGTGGGGAACTGGGGGTGATTTTATCTGGGCCGGAGGGTGTTCTCTCCCCTACCCCGTACTGTTCAGATACCTTGAAAAGGACCTCTTAAGGCTTATTTACTGGCAACACGAGCTTTGTGCTAAAATATGCTGGTTGGTGTTTTGGGAATGTTGGCCCCACCCAGCTCTGGCATGCAGTCCCTGAGAGCTTCACCGAAAAAGTACGTGGGCCTCCTGCAGAAAGTGGCTCTGATCTAGACCCTGAAATGTTTTGTGAGCTAACAGAACTGCTGCTATGCCAGCCTTCCTTTTGGAGAGTCCAGCTTTTTTTAAAAAAATGTATTTATCTAGCCTTGAAGTCTATGGAATAGATAGGCTGTAACCTATTACAAAAAGAATGAAGGGAAGCCTTCCATATCATGATATGGTTTTTGAAGCTCTTGCTATTTATAGATTCAAAGGAAATCTGTTACAAAAATCCATATTTTCTATTCACTTTTAGCCGTCCACTGTCTGCCAAAAGAAGTCCAACTGGAAGCACTACATCACGAGGTGAGAGTGAGGGACTGGCATAAAGCGGCAATAGGAGTGGGAGCATGTTAAGAAGTCCCTTTCTCTGGAAATGCAACTAAAGAACAGGTGTTTCAGAAATACAAGTCTGTCAGTCTGGTTTATAATACTGCTCTAAAACCTGGAAGATGCAGTACTTAACAGTGGAGATGATACTGACCTTACTCCATGACTGGGTTTGCATGATGGATCCCTGCAGAGGCCAGCTGCATATCCCCTAATTAAAAGATTTACCCTCATAAGGCACAGGCTGTCATGATGTCCGGACCAAGCAAGGTGTAGGGAATGCACAATCCACCCTGAAAGCTGTGGCTCTAAACTGCTCCAGCCACTCATCCTTGGTGGGTTCAGATGTTATTCGGCAGGTTAATTAGGTGACTTAACGACCAGCACATTTATTACTGACAACTTGTATGATTGTGCAAGAAAACATGCAGAAAAAGATTGCTGGCATCAAGATGCTATAAAAATGGAATTTAGTTACAGGTGTTGATGTCTGTTATGAGCTAGTCTTTAATGAGTATTTTCATTCCTACACAACCTTTTTTTTTTCTTGCTTAACCATAGTAAATAACAAAATACTTGGCTACAGAGAATTGGAAGGTGTGTGTGAATTTTCAGTCACTGCCTTCCACAAACCTTGAAGTAATGCATAACAAAAGATTTGATTTTCCAAGTGTAAATATGCATTTTTTCATAAGTCATTAAGTGTGAAGGTTTACCTGATTCTGAGCATTGGCTCAGGTTATTCTGATTTTGTTGTAGATTGGGCTAAAACATGAGATAATGTATTATGGTTTGTCCTTATAGTAAGCAAACAAGTAAGTTTGTTACAGCATTGTCATAAAAATTGTCAGTGATTTATGAGGAAAGATGTCAAATGAACAATAACTTGCAACTTATTATTGAAAATAATCCACCACTTTTTCCAATCCATACTGTTTATAATGTGCCATCATTGAAACAAAAGCAAACGGGACACCATTTATTTACTTATTTCTGTTTTCCAGGAAAAAATCTTGTTTGTTTGTAATTTTAGAAGGATATAGTTTCAGCTGCGTGTTTCTTACCTTCTTATAAGGCACAGCAACAAGTAGTGAGCTAAATCTTCAGCCACAACCCCTGCCCCTGCAAACCCAGTGCCTAAAACTGTAATGGACATTCAGAACCACAGGTTATCTGCCAAAACATTGTTATCTGTACTAACAGTAAGTGTGGTAGCAATGTCATAGGGAGATAGTGTTAACATGCCCTGTAAACTTTTCTTCTCACAGAAGCTACATCAGAGCAACAGTGTGAGTTAGTTCAAAATAAAGGGTTTAGCAGAGGTAGGTCAACCTTTCTTTTATACAGAATAGTCAGGACAGCTCATTTCTCTGATTAGCAGCTTTCAGTTTTATTTTTCTTGTTAGTTTATTGCTGTCCTGCAGGGGGGCTATGTTGCATAGGCCTCACCAGCTCAGTCTACATACAAAACAGCTATAAGAACACTGGCCATTCGGTAGTGTACTTCAAAATGGCCAGAATCTTCTGTTTTTTCCTGAAAGTGGGGAGGGCTTTATTTTGCCAAGCATTAAGGTGGATAAAGAGTATGAAAGAGGCATATTTAGATTAGATGCCACTTTTAAATTAATAAGTTTGTTTAGTTTCTGATGTACTTAAATAATTTTTAGCAGGATATCATCATAATAACATGCTCAGGAGTTACGACTATTTTGTTTCTCTCAATCCCTATTTTCAAAAAATGGGGTGGATTTTGGAAATTACATTTTAGTTGGATAATATGAAGAGTCAAATCTGAAGTTTAATTTTTATTAAGTTTTGGGTGCAGTTTCTAATACAATCTTGTCTTTTCTAATCAAACACTGTTAGTATTATGCCAATTCCACATACTTAAAAACAGGTTTCCTCTCTCTTTTTTCCTTCAGGGGAGTGACTTAAAGGAACACTCTTATATTAAATAATTATTTGGGAATGGAGGAGGAGGAATGAATGTGCTTAACATCCCCGGTTTCCTGGCAGGAATGTAAAGACTTGAAAGGAGTTCTCAGGAATGATTATCCTTAACCGTGGGCTTCTCTTCTTTCTCAAAGCCTCTACAGTGAGTGCGAAATCTGTATCAGCGTCCGGGTCTCTCCAGCGTTCCCGCAGTGACATTGATGTGAATGCAGCAGCCAGTGCCAAATCAAAAGTAACATCTTCTGGCTCCGATGCCCCCTTCAGCTCTGCTGCAGCCCTGCCCCCTGGCTCTTATGCCTCTCTAGGTGAGCTTGTTTTCTTACATAAAGAAGATCAATAGCTACCCAGGGAAGTATGAGTTTTTAGGAAATCCCAGTCTTCTAGGGAAGTATCATTTGAAAAGCAGTATATATCTATTCATAATGAATAAATGGATGTGTGTGTATGCAAACTTTAGCTAGAGAAACTAACTGGGCTTCTAGGACACCTGAAGTATTCTGGAAAAGGGTGGGGGCAGGTTGGAGGTTTGTTCATTTGTTCTTTCTTGTCAGTTTCCCCAACAAAGCCTCCATACATTCCGAAGCACACACTCTTAGATGGTGCAACACTGTGGCCTAGGATTCTGTGAAGGACTGTGATAACCACAGGAAAGATGACCTGTGTTGTTCCTCCCAGTTATACATTTATCAGAAATCAGTGTCAGCTTGTACATATTTTCCAATGGGAATAGCTTCAGCAGAATAGATCCCCTTGTCAGTTTTGTATAACTATTCTTTGAGGGTTCCTCAGCAGGCTTCCTCTGTATCAGAAAGGTCAAACACAGGTTAGGGGGATTATTAGCACTTGGATGAGTCTGGCTGTAAAATTAGTTTTAATTTATCAGAGGTCATTAACTCTGCTTTTGTAAGGAGAGTTAAGTGAGTTATTAGTGATTCATGGGATAAAAGTAATCCTTGAAGAGTGTTAGAAGAAAGCAGAGTGAGCATGTGGAACAGTGGGGTATCTGGCAGCTTCCAGTTAGTACTGCTTCTCCTGAAATATTTGTTCCATCAGTCTAAAAATCTGCAGCCACTATCAAATTCTCCCAAACATTCTGGGGAAGCAAAATTGTAGAAACTACGGAGAACCATGTATGCAACAGGCTATAGGAAGGATATTTTCAGAATGAGATAGACCTGTATCTTACCCAGAGAAAATGCTGAACTGCATGAAGCATTTGCTCTTAGCTTAGCTAGATCCATTCTCTTTCTTAGTCTTGATCAGTTGACAAGTTGCAGTCTTCAAGCAGAAACCTTTTCGGTCTGAATTTTAAGTATTGTCTCCGAATCTTTGTGAACTTTCCTACATATATTTGTTTATTCAGTCACTGATTTTCCTGCAGCTGTTCTTATAGCCCTACTCCTGCTTAAACTCCAAGGAAGGGCATGTTCCTCACCTTTACCAGAATGTTCCCTGATTTCTTTTCTCTGCCTTGCAGACTAAGTGTGGTATTTTTCTTATACTTCTGTGACTAACCGGTTTTATTTGACAGAATTCAGGTAGCTTTGATGCGTGGGTGCACATACTTTATCATGACTGGTTTCTTTATAGGCACCTACGCAAGAAGCCTGTACCGCAAGGGTAGCTTATCCAGTTCCTTCTAGAAGTTTGGACTGCAATTTCTATCTGATCCGGACAGTGGTCAGAGATTATGGGGGATGTAGTCTAAAACCTCTGGAAGGGCTCTGGTTTGTCTGTCCATGCTCTACCAGGTTTCTGTAAATTTTTATTCATGATACAAGTCTATCATGTATGGGTCCTGGAGAATGCAGATAAAGAAAAATAGAGAAAATGGATCAGGAAAACAAGCTAGTGTTTATAGGACTATTATTTCTTGCAATTCACTTGGAAAGTAATGTTGGGGGCTGACCCCCCACAAGTTATGCTAACCTCTATTTCTTCTACATCTACTGTAGTATATAAAAAGTATAGTGCTTACTCCAGTTAAAGGATGTCACCTTCTCTTTTTTTCCATTCTGCATTCAGTACTCAGGCAGATAACATAAGGGCCCTTTTTTATTCCCTTTGGCACCTTTCATTCTTCAGCCACAGCATCATTCAAAACTGAGATTGCATCACTTGATCACATTCAGTGCACTTGGCAGGATGTGGTCATTTCTTATCGTCAACAGTAATCTCTGCTGTAAAGAGCAGTAAAGTTAAATCAATGGCAAATATTTGTTTATAGTACTTCTGTTCTATAAATAGTGTGCAGGCCGCTCAAACTGATTTATATGAGGTTTCAAAAACAACAGCCGCAGCCTATAAAATGTGCAGTAGAATCAAAATCATGATCATTGCAGAACAGAAAGAAAGCTGAAAGTCAGGTAAAAAGGAACAAGCCTGGCAATAAAGGAAGGAAGCAAAACAAAGGCAGCCACCGTGAGGGGCAGGAAATGGAGTGAAGCTCTTAGGATGGTGTCTTGGGCACCCGTGTATGTTGTCTCTTTATTCAGGCGCTAGGGGCACAGAAGTTGGATTTCTATTTAACCAACTAACCTTACTGAATTATTCTTTTTGATTTTGTATAGCTAAATACACACTGCCCGCTTCTGCTGATATTACTAACTGTTTCATGTTATCCCTCTCATTTTTTTAATTTGCATAAAGATGGTACTACCGGTAAAGCTGAGGGTAAGCAGTCTCTGTTAACTGAGGTCTGTCTCTGGCTCTACCAGGTCTCTGTTTTCACCCAAGTGGTCCCTGGTCTTCATCTGTGTTCACTGGTGCCCTTGCATGATCTTTGCATGGTGTTCTCCTCTTACTCATGTTGATACTGTTGAGCACCCCTTCCCCATGTCTTTCAGTTCACCCTTGTTAGGCACAGTACCTCATAGAGCATCTTTCCCCCCACTAAGTACTTCTCTGAGCCTAGCCTCACAGTGATGAGCACTATGAATATCATCACACATCTGTTATTTATTTTTAAATCTTTCTCACACACATACATGCACGCATGTGCCCCTACATGTAAAAGATTTATTTGATTTACATTTATAAAGAGTAGTGAAGCCTTGCCTGGTTTATGCAACTGGAAATGTTGGACTGTTTCTATTCTCTAGGAAAAGAATTCAAAAGGAAAAGTGTTATGTAACCATAACCATAACCGTAACCAGCCCCCTTCCAGGCATTATTTGTTGTAGTTAACTGTGAAGAGCATGCTGGCTTTTTAAAAGGAAAACATTTGTATATGCTTGAGCACGCTAAGATCTCAAATACAGTATGACATCAGTGTAAAAACAATATGAAGTACTAAGTACATTTAAAAATCACAAGAACAGTGGAACAGAACAGAGCCAAGACAAGTCAGGGAAAACCTGGCGACTATCAGGTAACCTTTGTAATGGTAAATAGCTTCAGTTCCTTCATCAGTCTTGGCTGCTGCACAAAATTCTACTGTCTCTGGCCAAGATGTGATTACAGCATAATGCTGACCTGAGTTTAGGGATTGGGAATGGGGTGCACATCCCATCACCACCATCCCCTTTCTGTCATGAACAATTTCTATGCCTCTCCCTTCTCGTCTGTGTCAGCCTGTGACATGGCTGCCCTCATTAGCCAAATTTGAAATGGAACTGGGTATTCTCCAAAACATGCATTGACATTCCCAGATTATACACGAATTCTCAAAGTGTGTTTCAGAAGGTAATACTGAAGTTGGATTTCATTTATTTCCTTGTAGAACTTGTATTTGGCTTAATATATTAAAATCTGTGCATAGTTTAACTACAAAAGTGTCTAACGTTTCAGTTAAAAATGCATATGTTATACAATGATTAAAGTATTTCAGCAGCACAAGGAACAAAAAAGACAGATATGGTCATGAGGGAACAAATATGCATGGAGAACAGCTCGGGTGCATGATCATCTAAGGACTATGTCCATTTCTCTCAAAATACTTTCTTCCATGGTTGTTACCTCCAAATTTGAATCAGAGCTAGAAGAAGTGGCAGGGTTGGAATGTTTAGTTGCAGTGCCAAAGCCAGTAGACACAGTGATAAACCAAGAGCTCAGTGAGAACCAGACCAGACCTGGTTTGGTGAGAAATGCAGGTGAACAGGTGAATTTACAGGCAGATGGATGTAACACAATATGTCCCAGAGACTGGTGTCAGACTGAAAGGGCAAACCAACTGAGTAGCATCCATTGTGCTTGCTATTTGGCCCACAAGCAAGAGGAACCACACTGAGGGTGGAGCTAACTCCTTTTGGAGAGGGAACCAACTTCTTAGTACTGAGTTGTATTTTCTTAATAGCTGGTATTCTAGCTTTGATGGTGTCTTTTGCTAGCTGGTCAATTTTAACACAATACTGTAGTTAGAACCTTCCAGTCCTCATCTGCTTGGAAGGAGAGCTGTAGGGAAGGCTGACTTGGAACATATTACACAAGCCCCTTTCAGTCTCTGAGAGAGGACAGGATCAGTGTAATGACTGAGATGTATTCAGTGTTCATGATGCCTGAGACAATTTCATAGGTTGCCAAAGGCTATAATTGCCATAAATTAGTAATGCTTTATGTTCTTTGAAGTGGTTTTGTTGAATGTGAGGGAAGATGTAGAAGGAACAGGAAGAACCTAGTAGGGAGAAAAGAGGTCCTCTTGACAACACCTATTCTTTAGTTTTATTCCAGATTTTCTATTTCTAGATTGCAAGTAGTCAAATTACAAAGAGCTACTGAATAACGAAAGCCAGACATACAATTTGTTTTGAATTCTGTGTTAATTGCTTTTAGACTAGCCTAAAGCAGGGCGTGAAGGCCTAGAAACTCCATGACTTTTTGCTAGACTTATTATAACACGAAGTTGAGTTGATTTTGTTATTTTTGGTAGAACTATGCTGACCACCACCATGCTTCACCTCTTCTGTCAAAAAAAATGTTTCTTAACAAGTCAATATCCAGTTTAGACAAAGGACTTGTGGGTGTAATCACTGCACTGTAAATACAGAGAATGTGTGTGTATGTTCATGAGTTTGCATGTGTTCTGTGGGCACCTAATGTCCTTGTTTAAAGTAGCGAGTGAGCCCATTAGCAGACAAAATTGTGAATGGAAGTGAGAGAGCATGAAAAGGAATACTGCATCCTAAAGAGCTAGTGCTTCATGTCCAGAGCACAGAAAATTTAAGAAGCAATCCCTTCTACCATTACACGGATAAAAATGCATGGAAATAAAGCCGTCCCCTTTTTGGTGTTATCCTGGGACCTGCCCTACAGTGCACTGATTCCACCCAGCCCCACTCAGAATGCAACCCTAATTCATCCCCCTGCCATTCTTTTCTGAAGGGTGTTTCTGTTAACAATCTAGGCAATTTCCTGTACCTTATAATGGCTTATAATTACAGCTCTGTAAAATATAATTTTCATATAATTACTTGGTGCTGTCTTCTGCTGTCTCCTTCCTCCTCTTGACCCGTCTCACAGACTGGTTGATGGTAGCTGGCCCCATGGTGTGGCCACCCAGGTGTTGGTATTCTGTTAATGTTAATTTCAAACTAAATGAAATGCTGCTGAAAGTATGATTTTTCTTGTCTGTTTTGGGGGAAATAGTCATAACATTTGGTGTAGTACATTGCTCCCATTTTGATATACTGAATTAATTTTGTTACTGTGATATCAAGTATAGCACCAGTTTGAACAATGCTACCTTGAGCTAATTCTGGAAAAGTTTCAGAGAGAAAAAGCACAAAGTACTCAAAAGACCCCAACAGGAATAACTCTTCTGGGCATCAGGTGACTTGTATGTGGCTTTCCCTTGTAAGAACAGAAAAGCTCATATAATAAAATAATTGAACTGGTTTTCTGTATCTGTTTTATTCTTTTTTTATCTTAAAAGGATGCCCAGAAAGTAAAAAAGGGAAGTATAACAGTTTCTAGTTATAATACAGAGAGCCAGTGTGGTGTACTGGTTAAGAGCATGGGAATGGGAGTCAGGAGATCTGGTTCTAGTCCCTGCTCAGCCATGAAGCCAACTGGGTGACTTTGGGCCTGTCACAGACTCTCAGCCTAACCCACCTGATGAGGTTGTTGTAAGGATAAGAATGAGAGGGCAAGGAGAATTATGTAAGCTGCTTGAGCTCCTTGAAAGGATAAAAGGCTAGGATATCAATATGATAAATAAATAAATAAATAGAACCTCTTATATAATTTTAGTAAATGAGATTCCAATCCTCTGGCACATACACAAATTAAATGCTGTATGGAATTAAACTAGCTGTGGATGAGCTACACAAGGGGTACTTTGGGTAAAGAAAATAGGACGTTTGGGTTCAGAACATATGGGCTGAGTTTGTCAGAAAAACAAATTCACCATCTGCTTTGTATTTACTGCTAAGACTTTACCACAAATGGCCTTTAGGAAGCGGGTTCAGAAAATGATGGACCTCCATATGTTGTTGGACTCCGCCTCCCATCACCCCATCTGGGGTGGGGAGTGGTCAGGGATGATGGGAGTCAGACTCCCGACACAACATGGAAGACCCCAGATTGCTCATCCCTGTTCTGCAACATTCTGGGGCCTTGTATTGTGTGGGAACACTTTGACAAACACGTGCCAGGCATGGCTACTGTTGGCCACGTTTTGCCAGGCACACTTAGGGGCTTCTCCGGGTGCCAGGAGCCCTGTTGACCAGGGTTCCTACCCATGTGGCAGACTCCCTGCTTATCGGCACCTGCACATGCCTGGGACACCTTCACTCTAATGCAAAGTGTACGACTGCTGAGGACAACTTGATACTTAGTGCATGTTTGCTGTGTATGGCTGGGACTGGGAGACACAATCCCCCTCTGTGCATGAAGTATAGTGCAGACTTGAGCAGAAGTCACCCTCCCTTCCCCCCTGAAGTACTTGTCAGGAAAGTCTGTCTCATGCAAAGGAGCATGAAACCTGCAGGACACAACTCAAAGGTTCGAAAGCTAGACTTTTGTGTATTTGAACACTGTCCTCAGACTTTGCAGCTGTATATTCTTAGAAACTCCATTTATGTTCCTGCTCCAGACTTCTTGTATATTTCCAGAAATACTGCAGCTCCATGCAAAAACATTTGCTTGGAAGCAACTTCCATTTACAACAAGTCAACTCATTTTCGACATGTGTCATGCAGGTTCAGGACTATATAGATTTATGAGGCAGTGCCATAAAAGTCAGTGGTGCCCACGTATTGGTGCGCTTTGTTGTTGGAAACTTTAATATCTGCTGTGTCTCTGTTTGCATTTGGAAAACAAGCATAAAAAGATAGTAGAACCTAGTTGTATTTAATAAGAAGCAAGCATTGATCCCCTCCTATCACATGTTATTGTGATTACTCTTTCCTTTGAACATCCACAACCTTCTGTCTCTTTATCCTCAATTTCTTCACCTGATATTCTTTTTGCTTCACTCTACTGTTATTACAGCATCTTGCAAGTTACAGAGTTGAACTTTGCTTCCCTCCTTCTTAAAACAGTATTTTTGGCATAAACTAGTTTTGGAGTGCTGTACTTGTTAAAAACAAAAATCGTTTAATAAGTTAATTCTTACCTGTATATGATTCTGTGGTTCAAAATACTTTTCAGATAATGGGAAACCAGGCTGCCCTTTCAGTGCTTAGCACAAATAGATTGGTTCATCCTAGGCAAAGAATCAAATACCTCATAACTGATATTTTGGGAGATAGTGTTTTCAGAGCTGTGTTCCTCTTTTAATAAAAACACGGTACTTTTTGATGTAAACATTTGGGTAAGGGAGGATTTAAAACACTGTCACTTTAATTAGTTAAACTGTTTTTTTGGTTTTCCCTAGGTCGGATCCGCACAAGGAGGCAAAGCTCTGGAAGTTCCACTAGTATCACCTCAACACCTGCTGATACTCGAGGCCGAAGCCGGGCCAAAGTAGTTTCACAGTCCCAGCGTAAGAAGCCATTCAGTCTAGTTTGGTGGAGGAGGCTGTATATTTATCCAGCTTGCTTTCAGCACATAGAAATCAAAATTTCCATTCATTCCTGACAGTTTTACTCACGCCAAAACAGTCTCCAAAGACCTTATCCAAAACTGTGAACTCAACATATTAGACATGCTTACACAAACAAATAGAAATATCAGACCAGTTTTCAGGATTTTTTTTTAGTTCTGGTCAATGGCTACCATCTCTGTGCACTTTTTATTATTTTGAATGAATGATTTCATTCACACATTCTTTCATTATGAACACTTAAGCTGTTTACATTTCTTCCTGGGGTTTCTTGCCTGCACAGACTCCTGTTTCCCCACAGTCCTTAGGCCTGGAGGAACATTCCTTTGGAGAAGCTACTTCTCTCCAGTATCTTCTGTGTCCCAACCTGCAGATATCTTTCCCATTCGGATGAGGTCCACAGCATCTGGGGACTGACTCTGTCTCAGAGGTGTCTCATGCAAATCTCACAAAGTACTAGCACTGTAGCTCACTCAGCACCAAGGCAGCACAATGCTTTTCTAAGAGTATGGAGAAAGTGTTCTTATTACTGGGACTCTGGTTGATTTCTTGAATGCTGATACTGAATGTGCAAAAGAGTCTGCATATTTAATGACTGCTGAGAAAAATAATAGATCCCAACCATTTAATAAATCATGGTTAGCTACTTGTTCCTTCATCCTTTTACTGTTTGACCTATTGACCAGGTTCAGATGACACACCGCAGCTGATTGTGGGTTGTTTGCATGTGTCTGCTTGAGGATTGGGGGGGTGGGGGAGGTTCAAAGTAGGTTAGGCTATAGAAACTAGGGGCTGGTTTGCACAGTCAAAGAATCCACCACGGGTGTGTCACATTCTTATTAGAAAGAATCTATTAGTCATATCAAGTCCCAACAAAACCCTACTTTCATTTTTGTTACCTTTCTTTGACCTGCAACAGCTTTGCATTTTCTGCTACTCCATGTTTGGTGGAATTGCTTTCCCCCCATAATCCTGTTACCTCGGTGAGCAAGCACAGTGTTCTGGATCAGCACTTGATGCCACAGTCCTTGGCTTTATGATGGCAGTCCAGTTGTAGTGCCCTGGTTGCTCAGTCTCAAATGGCTGCTTGCCAGTGTGTAACATCATGCAATAGGTGCCTGGTTAGAAATACTCATAAGAAAGGCTTTACTGTGTATTAATCCATAATATACTGCAAAGTGTGAGTAGTGATCCATTTGTCAAAAGCCAGTTCATGTTGTGTACAACTACCAATGCTTCTTGAACTCTGTATTGTCTCGCTTTCTCTGATTTACTTTCTGCCTGTCCTTTGGTCTGCTCTCATAATCCAGGATCCAGATCAGCTAACCCTGCTGGTGGTAAGAAACACCTTCTTTGTTTTTTCACACTGACCTGGTCTGCATGACTGCAGCATAGTTAACAAGCCACAGTGGCTGCTTACCCTGCAGACCGTGCTGGTCTTATGCTAGCCAAATTCCCTGTTTACCCATGCCAGCGCACTTTGTCATGTCACTTGAACCCAAGTGCAACGGCATGTTTGAGGGGGCAGCTGCAAAGGCCATGGGCTATTGTAAGGTTCTGTGAGGGTCATTGTGCTCTCCCTCATGAGAAACCATGGCACCCAGGCTCAGACTGCACATCATTTGTGTTGGCAAGGGTAGTTAAGGAAATCTGGCTGGCGTGGAGCAGGCTCATGCCACAGGGGAACAAAGCCACTGCAGTGTATCTTCCTTGCTGAGATTGTGCAGACCAGCACTCTGTTTCCATGTCTGTGCTGTCTTTCATGTTCTGGTTCCTAACAATTTCAGTTTTCAGGATGCTTGCCATCTTTACTCTCCTCCCAGAAGCTGAAAAACTAGTGCTCCTAAAAATGTCTGAAGTGAAGTAATTTTGGTATGCACATGTAAGGTACTTAGATAGACAATCCATGCATAAATGAAAGACCCTTCTTTGGTCACTGTGACCCCACTACTGAGAAGTAGGTGTTTTTGCTTTTATTCAGTAATATTATCCAATCTTGCTGATTCGTGTGAGTTTAAGCCAACATAAGTTGGAAGGAGGGCTTGGTTTTGTGGAGCAAAAAATGCTACTATCACTCACAAGCTATGAGAATTCTTGGAGCATTTTTGTTTTGTTAAGCTAGATCGTGGAGGAAGGGCACCAGCATTTGTATTTAATCAAGAAGCCGCATGCACATAGAACAGGAAATAAAATAAGAATTTATTATTACCATTTAAATGTAAATTGTTTGTAAACTACCTTGGCCATCCCAAGAGCTTTTAAATAGGGTGGCCTCTAAGTATAATGCATACACAAATGGTGACAGCTTAGTTTAAGGCATCATTCAGCAGAGCAATGCTGTATATGTTTAGTGAGAAGTAGATGCTGCTGAGTTCAAAAGGACCTATTCCCTGGTAATATTTCCAAGAATGTTTGTTGCAGCAAAACCAGCAAAGCATCTTTTGGCTCTTTTCTCCTTTGAGAGTGTTTCTTTGTTAAAAGGGCTAACAGGGATTTGCTGCTTCTCCAAAGTCTATAGGAGAGAAAGTAGGATGTTTTGTAAACATACTTGAATAGCCTTTCCTGGACAGAAATCTAATCGGAAAACTAATTAGCAATGAGATGGCAGAAGGCATTGATTTAGGTTAATGTTAGATGGTTAGACTAATGATTTAGATTGTACATGTTCAGGAGGCTTCTGAATTGAAAGTTCAATTAAGCAGAAACACAAGATACTTAAAGAAATAATTGAAAATAGTGATGCATGGCACACCCTCTCCCCATGGCAAAATGGTTTGAAAATGAAAGGAAGGGAAAACTGGGGGCTTTTGATTTCATATTCATTCATGCATGAATAGTGGTTTGCTGGAGCAGCCCATTATGTCTAGCTGTTAGTTTTCTTCTTTAAAAAAGGTAATTCAGCTTATTCTATTACCTGTTCGACATTTTATTCTTAACCCATAATGAATCATTTTAATTTACTTGTGATCAGCTTCTGAAATTCTTGTGCCCTACTTTTATTTGAATTGAATTGAACTGCATAAACATAATTGTTTTGAAGTACTCTGAGTATTTCAAGAATATTTATCTATGGTTCCTTCTAGCTGGTAGTCGATCCAGTTCCCCTGGAAAGGTCCTGGGAAGTACTTATGGTGGAATGGGCAGTGGACTAACCAGAGTACACCCAATACCATCACCTGCTGACAAACGAAGCAAAGTCCCTCGAAGCCAGGGCTGCAGCCGAGAAACCAGCCCAAACAGGATCGGTCTAGGTAAGAGTCTGTTTGGCTATGGGACAGAACCAAGAAATTGATTTATTATGTAAAGCATATTGGCAAAACAATTCCCAGAGAAACATGGGCTCACTGCAGTATCTCAATGGCTACGATTTTCCAGTATGTGTCTTAACGATGTTATACACTAGTAGTATTGTGGGACTTTAGCAGTCCTTTTGGAAGGAGTAATTTAAATAGCCTGTGCTTAATCATGACTCTAATCAGAAAATCTATTCTTTAAGTTGGTGCTTCTAAGTTCTGTTGCCACTCACGTGATTTGATACTAGCCTTTGACTTGAAGTATATTGCCTGGAACATAAGATATAATACGTTTATCTATTAAGTATTACATGATGATTTTGATGAATGCCAAATACTTCTTCCTTAATAATGCCATATAGTCTTCCTTTACCTTCATTCTGAAAACAGTTGTGCATAGACATTAGTCTATTGTGACCTTAGCTCAAAAATGTCATCAGTTACTGTAAATTAAGAATTAAACTTTTTTTCTGTAACCTCCCTCCATCCCCATGAATTTCTGCTAGTACCATTGTTCATGTATCATGTGTGAATAGCAGTCCTATTTCCAGATACATTTATTATACACTGATGTCCACCATTATACGTTAACCTTGACTAATTTCATTCTGAAATAGAAGTTAGGGTTTCTAAGTAATCTGTGTGAAATTGGAACATGCTGGCCAGAATTAGAACTAGGACCTCCCAATAAACAGGATAGGACTTGGAAAAGCAGCTCTAAAATAATCCATCAGGATTTTAGGAACCAGCAGAAAGTGGAATTAGGAAAACTGGTGGAATAATCAAATACACATGTTGTTCATGTGTATTTGAGCTTATGCTATAGGACAGGATGACACACAGAAGGAACAAATATCTGAATAGAAGTTCAAGACTAGAGCTCATATGGTTAGAGGGGGAAAGAAAGAAAGGCTCTTAAACCTAGTATTAATTGAGGAAAGAACTCCGAGATATATTTCACAGTTGTAAATAGACAGAGGCAAGGATAAATACAAAAAGGACAAATTAAGATAATGAGGATATCAATTTGCTGCAGAAAAAGATTGGTGCCCTAGCAGCAAGCCAGTCAGCAAACATATTATGCAGTTAAGCTAGAATCTGATAAACCACAATCAAACCTCTGATTCTGATGTGGGCATTTTCAAGGAACCAAGGACAAGGACACACAGAAAGACAACGTATTTGTAAATGCAAGTATTTTTGAATATGTTACATTTTCATCTACCAGACTAAGATTTCTTACTGTTTAGCATAGAATCAGATCTTTGTTCATGCATTTGAAAAAAGGATATTTGGTAGCATTTTCTCCCATTCCTATTAAATTTAAAACTTAGTGGTCTTATTTAAATTCCTACTATAGAGGCAGCTTGGCTATTACCGAACACATGAAAATACATATCTTTAATATACTTCATCATCTCTAAAGGTATTTTGGATTTACATTTACATGTAATTTGGTTATCCAACATAGAATAATCTCTATAGAGGGCAGTTGTGTTTTTGATTGCTCATATCTTTCATGAATGGTTCACATTTAAGTTTTACTTGCACATAATGATAAGCTGGAATTCCTGGCCTATCTTGGGTTACTGTGAATAAATGGCTTGCTAGCACATACAGCCGGATTGCTCCTTCCTATACACAAGCAAGTGATGCTATCAAGAAAGGGTTAGCTTGTCAGTCCGTTTCATGTCTGAAATTTGGATTATGGTTTGTTGTTGCCAAACAAGCCAGAGTTGGTAAGCCAGCAATAAATTCTAAGTATGTTACTGACTTGTGAAACTTGGCACATTTGAGAGCAATGATTCAAGTTTAGATGTCATGCTAAGCTTTTCCTTCACCAGTTTTACCCATTCATGTTAAAAGAAGAGAGACTCTCTGCATCAGCATGCCGCTTGTTCACAGTAAGTCAGGATAAACCACACATTCCAGCTTAAAGCTGGTGTAAAGCTTTCCAGCTATGTGTGTGCATTTCACATACATACATACATACATACATACATATCATATCATATCACCCACCCCCGACTCTGTTTTTTCACTCAACATTATGGAAACCACACATGATAATTATCACCCTGGCATTATAGTCAAGCTGGTCTTAAATTAACAATTTACCACTTAGCCTCAGAATAGAAATCATTAGTTCATCCAGCAGAAGGATTAATCCAAATTTGCAAAAATGGAAATGGGTTCATGAAAGTCCATTAGTTCTTTAGCTCATATTACATATTTCTTACTCTCAAAGTAAATGACTCCATACTAGTGTACATGATGCCTTCCAAACACCAGCGTAAATACAAACTAGGAGTATTTACCAAATGATTTCAAAGGAAGAGCTACCTAACATCCTTCCTGTTCTCTAGGAATTTTCAAAAATTCTTAACTGTAAATATACTTTCTGTTTTTCTGTATTTGTATTAGTTATACTTGCATAATTTAGCATTGTTGTTTTATATAATGCTTTAGAGTATAACCCAAAATAGATAGGTTTGTACCCCAAGAAGACCTCAATATAAAATCTGACGGAGAAAGGAGAGAATGAAGGGAGGCATGGGAGAGTAAGGATGAGACAAACTGAACAAGAGCAAAAGAGTTTACAGAAATTCAGATTTTTATTTTATTTATTTGGTTGTTGATGTACTTGGCTTTACAGAAAAGTCTGGGGTGGATTTTTAAAGAAGCAGCCATGATGGTCCTGAGCCCCCAAAATGGACGGTTGACCTCTGGTTGCATAACTCAATGGAAGTACTTATAGGTGGGATGGATTTTGGTTCTGGGTTGACCAGGTAGGCAGAATTTTTCTGGAAAAGGAGACAGAGGAGAGGCTACATGAAACTACACTAAATAAACAGGAGCATAAAAACATGAATAGTACATTTCTAAAGCGTTCTAGCTATATATCATCTTCAGTTTATTCCCTTTTTGATCAATAATCTGTCAAAGGCTTATATAAAAGTGGGCTTTCTTTAGAGTTGCACTGCTAAATCCTTGTTGAAAACATGGTGTTTGTCTTCAAAACCTATCTTTCCACAGTGTTTCTTTTAGTCTCAGTAGTTTGGCATGCTTGTTGTATGTGTTACCCTAACTCTCTCTTTCCATCTGAGATCTTTTGTCCCTTTAGCAGTTTGCCAACCAGGATTGCCTTCCAGGCAGGCCTCATAGGTGTGTTGATTTGTAGCACAAAGCACAACTTGACATTGGTTTGTGACAAGCCAGAAGTGGCTGCTGCCAGTGATAGTTGCTGATGTCAGTAATGACCTTAAATGTGACTTTCCTGTCTGAGCTTTATATCCTCATTAAACTTGTGTTCACCTTCTCTGAAACCCTCCATGATGCATGCTAGCACGGAGCAGCCGTATCCCCCGACCCAGCGTGAGTCAGGGGTGCAGCCGCGATACCAGCCGTGAGAGCAGCCGAGATACAAGCCCTGCTCGGGGCTTCCCTCCACTGGGTGAGTACCTGTAGGCACTGGAGCTTCTTAAGGGCCCTTCCCTCTTCCCCTCTCTTGTTGCCTAGTCAAGACATCACTAGGTGGAATGAGCTTGTTCCCCCCTCCCCCCTCCCCTCCCGTACCCTCTCTCTTCTAATTCCCCAGCACTCTTCTGATTTCCCAGCACTCTGACATATCTTCCCTTCTGCATGCTTAATTCCTGCTTACCTTTACTAGGAAGAACATTAATCTGAAACCCTTTTGATAATTTCCAAATTCTTTAAGGGCATTTGAGCAGCATTGGCTTTGGCAAATACAGTATTTGTGAAAGCAGCTAGTCGGCATTTTTGCATAGAAGGCTGATGTTGCAGAGAAGGCTGGTTTAAAAAAAATACGATGCAATAAAAGCTTATCCTGGAGGGAATTTAAGATATGTGCAAATCATTTTTAAAAAGTTGCATTGTGATCTATACACATTCCATATCAAGGGTGTACCAGGGTAACTCCTTCCCAAACTCAAATTATACTTAAAATGCTCCTTTTAATTAAGGGTTATTCCTTAATTCATAGAACACAATGGATTCATCCTAATCTCACAGAGCAGGATCTTCACAGTCTCTCACTTTCTAAATTTTGATTCAGCAATCCTAGGCCAAGAAGAACCTACCTTTGTAAATCAATAGTGTGAACTTTTGCTTCATCCTATTTAATGTTTTTTATGTATAGTTGGTATATTGGTTGCATGAGATATTCTGAAGGAATTTTTCCTCCAATCTGAGTATTCTGAAACCTTGGAAGGCATAAGTTTATTTTTATAGAAGCATTCAACTGGGATATAAAACCTTCTACCAGTTTATTGCATGGTGTTATTTAACTGAAACAAGCAGATAGTTTTTAATCATATTTTGCACTTGGAGATTTGTTTAAAACAAATTTCAAAGGGTATCTAAAAATCTCTGTATTTGGCATTCTGGCAGCATGTTTCCAACTCTCCTTGAAATTTCAGAGTGGAGGGAAAAAAATATTATGAATGTGAAGCTGTCATTTTGCTCTGTATCCAGAGCTTTTAACATTGCTGATGGAAAAACCCTGTGTATAAAAACATGGCAAGGCTTTGAATGTAATTATATTTAGTTTTTCAGGATGGGAAGTTGGGAAAATAGGAGGAAGGCCAAGCTATTGAAAGGTTCTTGATGGAAAGATGGAGGTCATGGTTGTCCCCCATGGAGGCACTGATTGGTCTATGCCTATTTAGCCTCAAATGTGCTACAGCACTGGGAGGAAAAAGGGGTTTATGAATGTAATAAGGAATGATACTTAATGACAGACAGTAAATGCCATAGATCAAGGATAGGCTGACATCAGTTTTGTGGTCCAGTCTAGCTTATACCTGACCCCTGTTGTCACTCAGTGGTCCCCCAGTGTATATTTATATATTTATTTATATATTTATTAGGTTAGATTTTTAAAGATTTTTATCCCACCCATTAGCCATAAGGCTTCCTGAGTGGGTTTATATTATTTTATATTTCATATTAAATGTATAAAGCCAGCACACATACTGGGGAATCTCTTATCAGTTAAGGCATAGCTAGTATATATTGGCGTACGCATTGTGGAACACTGGGGTTTCTAGGGGTTGCTGTTTTAAAGCCCATTAAGAACTAGATGCTGTCTGGAAAGCCATAGGAAAATGTGGAGCCTTAGCCCAAACTTGAAAAAGCACTCCAAGGCTGGAGATAGGACTCTGGATTTGGAACACCCTTGTGCTACACCTTCCAGCCAACACAATTCTTTCCATGCCAGCTCTGACTCCGAAGTTGCAAGTGGGTGTGAAGGGGTGTTCTGAGAGGCGGGAAGGGGAGGAAGCAGGCTTTGTCAGGATATGAGGAATCCAGGGCCTCAGCTCCTGTTCCTCATGAGAAGGGGTAGAACAGGTAGAGATTCAAAATCGGCCACTGAAACGTTTTAAAGGGCAGAAGAAGCAGGAAGACAATCCATGTTCCCTCTGCTCTCCAGTTGGTGCCCGTTATCCCTCTTAGCTCAGACTGTTATGGACAACCGCTTAGGGTTGGTGCCCTGAGTCTGTTACAAGCTCAGCCCACTTCTGCCATGGATGCCAGGGATAAAGGGTATGGCTTAGACTGTTCCTCTTTTATTCTGGACAAAATGTATTTGCATCACTGCAGTTAGCATAGGAATGCAAAGTACTAAAGCCATGAAGTTTAGACAGAAGAGCATTTTATACTCACTCAATAGGTTGAATGCAGCTTGTGTAACTTATTTTCTTTTAAATCTACTAAATTACCATTTTGTGTTGCTTGTGACATCTGACAGGTTATATTTATTATGCTTCAGATTTTTGTTACGATGGATTGTGTCCAGAGATGTCACTCCAGTGGTGCAAGCTTCTGCCACTTGCAGAAATTATGGCTTTATCCTTGCACAAGTACTTAATCCAATCATTTAATTTTACTTGTGCAAGTTGCTTTACAAGGTATATTGTGCAATACTTCTCACAAGGAGCTGTGTTGTTCATGTGGTTTTGTTGCACCAGGAGTTAGAGAACTCATTACAAACTCCTTAGATTTACTTGTTTGTGTTAGTTGTTTGATTTCTGGAACAGCTTTTACAGTGCCTTGTGCAATGATCTAAAGAATAACTTGTGCATCATGTTGCACAACAGCTTGCTTAACATCCTGTACAACAACTTGTACTAACAGAATCAATGTGTTGAGTTTGATGCTTGTGCCAGGATAAAAAATAGTCTTTCTGGAAGCAGAAAAGGACCCCCATTAGATAGAATTCTATAGATTATAATCGCTATAACAGGGTTTATTGTTTGATTTATTGCATAGTCATGGAATGCATCTTGAGAGTTTGGTTGAACTCATAAATCTGCAAACATGTATGAATGAGGTCCTAAGAAGAATTACTGTAGGCCACTTTAATTTGAAACACATGATAAGAATTCCCATGGACTTACTGGAAGGAAACATTCCAAATTTTAGGAAAATAATGGACCTCGCCAAGGATTTTCTCCCTCATATGTTTCAGTTGCATTTTGTTACACAACTTAGTTTTCCATGAGTTGAAGCATTTGTACAACCTCATCTGGATGCTTTAAAATTCTCAATATTTAGCATGTTTCCTATACTTTTTTTTTGGAAAAATTGTCAGATATGTGGCCCAACCCAGTAAAGACTACAGTACTGAGCAAATTATTAGCTGGTAAGAGTTAACAATTGAATGGCAGTCTTTCTGTTTAATAGTTCGGTAGCACAATAATCAGAGGTGCAATGCTAACAGAGATTGTTTCTATCTCGCCCCTTTCAGTTACTACTCAGAATACATTACTAATCTGCATTCTAGCAATTAAAGAATGGCATACAGTTGTTTCTACTGCATTGCTGGTATTTTATTGAGTTTTTCATTCAGTAAAATGAAGATGGTTTTGTTTTTAGTGATTTTCAGGGCCTTCGTGTACCTTAGAAAGCTTTTTAAAATCTGTATGTTTCCATACAAACAATCACATTGATCCCCTATATTGTTCTTGGACTTATTTTTACCAGCAGTAATCCATAAGGGAACTGCTCCAGAAACTATTTTTTCTGCTTGTGCCAGTGGTTGCCACTGGAAGCAGTAGAAGTGGCAGTGGACCTGATAGTCAGCTTCGGATACTGCCCTGTGATTTTTCTCTCTCGTGGCAAGCAGCAATGCAAAATCAAACATTCGAATCACTGCACCCTTTCTCATGATGCTCTTGTAACAAGCTGTAGAATAGATGAGTTATTTATGTTGTTGAAGTCTACAAAATATTAATACCATGTAACATGTTCAGCAAAATCTAGTGGTGCAGCTCCTGACAAGCAGCCTATCAGATATTTTCTGGCCTTGGCTTCTCTTAGATGTGCTAGTTTTCTGTCTAGAAGACAGTTTTTATACAGGGGAGCATTTAGACCATAAGAGAGTTCATATTTGACTCAGCAACAGCTCTTCCTCATTATTTTGCTGATCATACCATTTTGCTTTAAATTATTTAATAGCATAAACACAAAATAACAAATATAGTATCCTCTAAAAACAAACTTAACAGCGATGGTTTATACATAGCTTTTCTGAACATACAATTTTCCTTTCTGTTCTCCATTCATAATTAAAGTAACTCTTGTTTAATATTTGATGCATGTGAATATGCTAACTTTTAAAATATGCTACACTAAAATGGTATAGAGTTCATATATTTGTGGAGCTCCTTCTGTTGTTTTTCTTTAAATGGAAGTAGTTCTTTACCTCCCTTGATAACATAAAATGCAATCATTCTGGAATTTTATAGATAGTTTTTTATGGTCTAAAGATTCTTAAACTGTGATTGTGAACTAATACTGGTCTACAAGCTTCAAATGAGTTTGGAACAATTAATAATATCTGTATTTGGCCCTGCAGTTGATGTATTGCTTCTGATGAAAAAGATTGCATTCATATTGATCAGGGTCAGATTGTTTTCCCCTGAAAATTTAGCACTTTGTGCCAGGTAAGTTTATGAAGGCTAAAGTTAGCCACAATTCCAGCCAATTGTGAATAACTTTCTTCAGAGAAACTGGAAAGTTCTTTACATTAGAAAATGAATAGTTATTGAAATCTGAGTGATATACAGTGGTACCTCGGCTCACAAACGCCTCAGTTCACAACCAAATCAGGTTGCGAACAGAAATTTCATTAAAAAATTGCCCCAGGTCGCAAACTCCACATCGAGTGACAATCGCGAGCGCGCCCGCCTTCCCTGCACGGGCGCAATCATGGTCATGCTGTGGGTGTGGGGAGATGGCCGCAATTGCGTCCATGTTCCGTGCCCAAGCACGCGTACCCACCTCCCTCCTGTCTCCCCCCACCCCCTTAACCTTCTTTACATTGACCCTTATGGGGAAATTTGGCTTGGCTCACGACCAATTTGAGTCACAACCAGAGTCCTGGAACAGATTAAGTTCATGAGCCAAGGTACCACTGTAATTGATTTGATTTTGTAGAGTCAGGGGGAATTTACAAACTTGCTAGCAGTTTTCAGGTGTTGTCAAGAAAAAAGCTTGAGAATGATTGGCCTACAAGATAACAAAGAGAGGTTTTAAGGATGGCTGAACTGCCTTTGGAACAGGACATTCTCAACCTCATTAACAGTCTACAAAGCTCTTCCTCACACCTCTTCACACAGGACAGATAGTACAACAGAGAGATATTTTTTAATTGCTTAGGCAGCAAGAGGTGCTAATAGTGTTGGTGGGGACACTTTTCTCTTCCCCTGCTGTGCTGTGACTTGCTTTTTTGTGGGCTGCAACATTTGTGATGAGCCATAGAGGATGTGAATTTAAAGGTACAGTTAGGTCTTCTTAATGGAACATTTTGTGCCCCACAATCCTGTTTAATTGCTTAGCAGTGCTTCAGTTTCTACCCAGCTTTAAGGCAAGAACATCTTTTGATGGCATTTTTCTGTGCCTCTGATATTTTCTAAACCTTAGAACCAACTATTTATTAAGTTTTTTCAGTCATGTAGCTACCAACTTAAAAAGCAAGTTTTGAAAATCTCAGTAAATCGACTAGTGTGCATGCATGTGTATATAAAATTTTTACAATTTTAGGAAGTTTTCAATTGTTAATAAAAAAGTGATATTTTCCTTCTTTTCAAAATACACAACAAATTGTACTGATCCATGTTGCTTGAATTTGAAAGTTAGTGAAATATGGCTCAGATTATAAATAGTACTTTGTCATAAGCAAGGCCAGATGTATCCATCAACATGAGTGGCTTTTATCTTCTACTTCATACTGTGTTAGTTACCATATTATCAGCTGTCCTTTATTTATAAACCCCCACCCTACCCCCATTTATTTCTTTCACCTTCACTTTCAGAACTACTAGAGTTACAAAGGTGTGTGAGAGACAAATTAGATGAATCAGTATAATCAGTGGATAAACAACCTCTGTGGCTAAAAGGATAATAATGACTACACTACACATTTGTCAACCATGTGTTCTTCCTCTTTGGCTAATATAGGCTCGCATTTCTTTGCCTGAGGGAGCTTTCTTCCTTTATCATTTGAGCACGCTGTGAAACATTCTTTTGGCATTACTCAATATGTGATTGCCAATCAAACTGGAATGACTTTCTCTAAAACTGGTGAAACTGTAGCAATCTGCAGCTAAGAACCTGCTTCATCCATGTATTAAATGGCAACCTCAATACATTTATAATCATAGTTTTCAACAGATGCAAATAAGAAACTTTAATCTAATGGGGAAATAGTAATATGAAGGGTATTTTATTAGACTAAGTTGTGGGGGGAAGCTTTCAGGGAAATTGAGCTAATATTGTTAGACAATTTTATGTCTCTGCCTTTGATCTAAGTTGTTTAATATAGACTGGTATCCAGTATCATTATTTTTCTTGGTTCTAGGTTACTGCTATCTAGTTACGCATTGCATGGATACTACTTCCCTTCATCAGTGGCTTTCAGAAGTCTAGTCAAGCAAGTGATAATTTCCAGGCTCTTGGGCCCAGTTCTGTCTCTGGGATTGCCATGTCTCTGTCTTCCTCATTTGCGTAGGCAACTGAACCTCACTCCAGCACAGACTCAGGGATCAAGATAATCTCAGATGTTAGCCAGTTGTTGGTTAAGTAAAAACTGGGTTTAAGTAATTATTGCTACGAGTTGTCAGTGCTAGCTCTCTTCACTTCTTAGATGCCCAGTGCAACCCAGCAACAAAAGCAATTGCACATCACTCTTGCCAAACCAGGAGGATTGAAATTCAGTTTTTTCCATGTTGTAACTGAGTTTTTATACTGTCCGGGGCATACAGATATATGAGGTAGTCATGCTCAGATTAGACTCCACAGCAGAGGACATGCAATGTTGAATCCTTGGCTTATACAGCCAGTGAATTCCAGGGAATGGTTTTGGAAAGCTGCCGGCAGTGCAAACAGACAGCACTGAATAAGAAGCTATAAATGTGTATAAGGTAATTGTGAAGCACCCAGAGAGCATCAGCTATCAAGTGGCATCGAAACGAAATAAAGTAGCTTTGAATTTCCAAATTAATGGTTAATTGAGTAATAAATATTTGTGTATGTGGAGGGTTTGAATATAATTCATAAAGTAAGTATGTTTAATGGCATTTATTTCCCTTCACGCTCTCTTATTTTTCTGCATGAAGTTAGTTTGCCCCAACTACCAATTGCCTTTTTACTGAGTACAGGTCCCTAACTGTGAATAAGAACAGTGAGGTTTTATACTTGCAAGCACAGTTTCTAACAATTCATTGTGGCTCTGCCATGGGATTTGGAGTGATTATATCTAGATCCTATTGTTGCTGAGTCAATCATTTCATGTTCACATAGTGATTCTCCTGCATCTGTCAGGCGATTGATGCTTATCAATCTCTGCTGGGACCACACAGAATTCTGAAAAGTGGTTCCTTCTGCGCTCCATGCATCATGCCCCACGGCTGAGGGTGGTGGGCGGAGGGAGGATGAGCAAAGAAGCGTCCGGTATTGGTCCAGGGGGCTTGCACTTGATCTGTATGTCCATTCATATGCAATGCCATTTCCTTTCACTGTGTAACACCAGTGTTGATACTTAATCATGTGCATCCCCTTTGGACTGTGGCATATTTTGTCTTGAGTATGTGTGTGTTAATCCTGTGGGTGTTGCCATTCCTTCTACTTGCAGCCTCTCGACGTCATTCCAGGTCCACTAGTGCTCTCTCCACTGCTGATTCTGTTGGGCAGTCAGGTGAACAAGTGCTAACTGCATGAATCTGCTTCTTACTATTGTCTCTCTTTATCGCCATTTTAACGTTTGCTGTCACCAACTTCACTCAGCACTTAGCATGTGCTTCCCCACCTCCATAGGATTTGTTTGTTTGTTTATTTGTTTTGTTTCTTTGAACATGTTTTTGTCATGCTGAGTTTTGAATGGTTTTAATGGTTTCTTTGCTTTCATCATTTCTGGGAAAGAAAGTATGTTAAAATGGCTATATAGGGCATCATGATGTATCTTCTGTTAATTGTCAGGAACATTGTGCATGTAGTGGTAGGAGATGCTGGCCTTGCCCTGCACCCATGGAAAGCAGCCACAGCAGTGGTGCAGTGTCCGATAGTGCTGAGCATTTCTAATGATCAGTAAGTAGAAACATAGATCAGCACCAGCAAGGCTAAGAGTCAGCATTTAGCTGTACAGTTTGATTTCTCACTGTTTCTATTCATATGTAATACTAAACCATAGTTTGGCACTCTGTAAGTACAGAAGAAGCTGCATGTAGTGCCAGGCTCAAATATTTCCCTATTCCACATCTTGTGTAGGCAGGAGACCAAATAAATCTGGATTCAATATATTGAATATATTCAACGTATTCAATTTTTTGGCCCATTCCCATGTCACAATTATCATGTGTTAACCAACCGTTGTGCTTTAAAATAGCCCCATCTCGGTTCAACAAGACAGCCTCAACAATGTGTATATCATTTCTATTAAAGATATTTCCAAGCGATGTACAAAAACAAGTCTTATTTCAGAAGACTAAGACTACCTTCTTGGAATTGCCTGTTGGAGCAGTTATATTTTCAGTCAGTACTGAAAACCCAGAAGGATTGGCATGTGCCTAGTTTGTAGTGGTGTGAAGTTCCAGAGTGTGGGTGCTAAAGCACTAAAGTCCCTATTCGAAGCCATGATCGTTTAGACCTCTGAAATATTGGGTGCTACCAGGATGATACCTCCTGAGAGTGCAGCAAGTGGGCAAGCCACCGGAGATGGTTTAACTTGGGAGTCCTGCATTGAGCAGGGGGCTGGACCCTCTGGCCCCTTCCAACTCTACAATTCTATGTTTCTGTGAATTATTTTGGGCCTCCATTGATTAGATCTTTGGAAATAAGTACCAAAATCTTAAATTGAGCCCAACAGCTTATAGGCAGCCAGTGGTCTGCTGTCAGCATAGATATAATGTGCCATTGATAAGGCTTTCCCAATTTAGTTGACTTGTTTAGCAACTGAATTGCTTTAAAATAATGATTCCTTGTTTACATGAACTTGCAAGCTGGTATCATGCAAAGTGGTATGGAACTTTGCTTTATTCCTCCCTCCAACCATGTGGGAAGAATGCTAAACCATGGTTTGACATTGCATCCAAACCATTCCATTAGCGTGCAGAATGACAATGTCATTAATCATATTTTGAGTCCATATGCAAATCTTAAATCTCTTATTTATGAAGAGGGATAAACTGAGCCATTAATGCTATGGTCTAGTAGACTGGCACTAGCTTCTTAAGCAAGGCGAGTATTGAGCTATGTACGACATGATTTGTTTGAGCTTGTGCTATTCTTTTGAAGGCTCACAGATTTGATAGAATTGTGTCTCAAAAGAGACTAGCTTGGAATTGGAATATATAAATATTAAAAATGAGTTTTAGAAACAGGACTTAAATTGGTTTGCTTAATATAAGTGTAAATATTAAGAGCTAGTGTGGTGTAGTGGTTAGGAGCACAGGACTACAACTCAAGTGATCTGGGTTCTGGTTCCCACTCAGCCATGGAGCCAACTGGGTAGCTTTGGGCCAGTCACAGACTCTCAGCCCAGCCTACCTCACAGGGTTGTTGCTGTGGGAACAAGATTGAGATCTGGAGGAGGTGAATGATGTAAGCTACTTTGAGTCATTGTAAGAAAAGGACGATCTAAATTAATAAATAAGTTCCCATAATAAAGACTATTCATGACTAATATAGTATGTAGGATGTATGTGTATATTATAATGTTGCTACATTTAAATACAAGAGTTTAAAAACTATAATTTCCATGAAATAGGTACCAGATCTACCTATCCTCCAGTTTCTCTAATAGTTCTGAAAACAAATGTATGGGTGGCTTGGCACTGTCTGGACATCAGAACCAAGCCCACACGGTGATATTTTCTTTTTATTTCTATGATTGTAAAGGAGTTCACACTGAACGTAAGCGGAGATTCACATGGTTGTTGTGGACGTAGCTGTATTTGAAACTACAGAGCTTAATTCTGGGCATATTTGCAGCAGTTGTATCAGATTGCAGGATATCCTTTGCCTGCTAAATATCCTGATATCCAGTCAAAATGATCTTCCTCTGTCAGAGTTAGTTTGCGGTAGCAAACCATGCACATCACTGTTAAACTTGAAACCTAAAGCCAATGTTTTTACTGGTAAATTCCTGCAGCCAAAACCCACCCACTCGCTGCTTCCCTCATATACAAACACTCTCACACACATTCTGCCCAGTTCTCAGTTGCTGACCCAGGGGAGAATCTCTTTTTCTCCTCTCCCACTCTCTCCCCCATTTCTCTTCTCCTCACCTCCTTGATGTGTGGACTTGTCGTGGCAAGGCTTCACTGCCAAAAGGGCAACACAGTATAATATGGTGGGAAATATTTTCTGATGCACAGTTTAAACATGACACTGGCTGAGGAAAGGAACCCTCCTTACCTCTGTTTTAAATGGGGAGCTCTGTTCAAGTCCCTGACAGAGGCTTTATTTAGCTGAAAACGTCATAATCTCAAGACAGGCGCCAGCATGCAGAGAGCTTGATCCAGTATGGAGGCGTTTCACATATTCACTCACCTCATAGACTCTGCCCATACAGATGCATGCCAGACTTTATTTAATGTGGTTCAGTTCTGTTGCTTCTGCTGATTATTTTAGAGCATTACAACTTGATTTACTTTGCCATCCTGATTATGCACATCTTTTGGAAACTATCTTCCCTTTTCTAATGCAGTCTTAAGTTTGTTTGAAAACCCATGACAGCCAGAGCTCAGTTCTTCTGGTGAAAATTGCTGAGCATTTCACCTGGCATTTCTGGAGCTAGATTTTCACCCTTTGCTAACTCAAATACATGGTATTTTTGCTTTGAAGTAAATTCCCTAGTGGCATGCCTTTTTTTGAAGGGTAGCTTGTATTATACCGGCCACTTTTCAGTTGTTGAGAAATGCTGGTTAAATGATACAAATCTATTTAGCATTGTATTTGGCTTTCCACATTCTTTGCATTGCCATCTTCTTTCCAGATCTCTCTATCTGGAACAAGGGTTGGTGTTGCTTCAGAATCTAGGTGCATTAAAAAAGGGAATAGTAATCACATGTGTAATTTTTATTTCCCTTTAAATGACATCATTCAATTACTTTTGGGAGCAGCTTTTCATTGAAAATGTTTCATTTTCGCATGTAATGTATTTTCATTTTTAGAAAATGTGCTTGTTATAAATTTAAAATGTTTGATCTTGGAAATAAATTTGAAAAATGGAAAACTCCTTGGGTACTCTGCCCCTGTGCTTAAAAATAACTGGTTTTGCCCTGTATATTAACAATGATTTTTTCTCTTTTGTCATTCTTGATCTGATCTTGCTTCCCTTCAAGCAGCCTAAACAAACATACTGAAGCTGAATGCAATTTTATTTTATGAGTGAAGACTGGAAAGGCTTTAAAATCACAAATGATACTTCCCCAATGGACTTGTTCTATTTCTGTCTAGATTCCTTAGTCAACTGTTAAATTTTCCAATCTAATTTATCTTGTAAAAAGTTCCTACCTGTTAGTGCTGAAAGCACAAAGCTGCCTAAATGAGCATTTTTAAAAATTATTCCATTAAATATTTCCATGCAACCTAACTTTTTAATGTAAAGAGAGTTCAGCTGTCATATGATGGGAAAGAACAGCAAAATTGAATAGAAACAGCCCAGCAAAGGAGATCTGTGCAGGGTGCAGTTCCTGTTGCATGTATGTATGTTGATGAAATTCATGGCCTGTGTGAGTGGATATCTACTCACGCAGCATGAATTCCCTGCCTCCTCTTCCCACAGCCTGTCCCGTACTCGCAGTCTGCTCTGGAGGATCCCCAAGCTCTAAGTGTCCCCTCCCCATTGCACTGATGCAAATCATTCCTTTGGCAGGTGATGTCAGACACCACCGTAAACCCTCTTCTGCTTCACAGCACTGATTGAACACCACTGCACTGGCCACTGGTATCTGTTTCTGTGCACTGGATTGTTCATTGTCATTTGCCACTAGTCATGATGAGCAAATAATTGCCCATATCTAGAGCTGAATGGAAGCATATTCTTCTGCATGGTACTTGCCACCCCAACCATAGTCCGTCTTGTTTTCTTCTGTTAGGAGGTGAAAGACCAAGATGCCTATGCCATTTAAAATGTCCATCTTACTTTGCAGAAAGAAAGCGATATTCTTCCTTTCAAACACTTTTCAAGGACAACTCCATTTCAAGAGATAAGATTTAACAAATCTGCATTGACTTGCCAATACATTTAAGATGTGTTGAAAAATGCACACAGTGGGCCATGCCCAGCACTGCATCGCCAGCTATAAAATCATGTTGTGCTAGCTGAGACGATCCTAGTGTAACAGCAAAGCGCTTGCTGACACAAGAGGTTTCTTCAGAAAAGTGCTGTTGGCATTATGCTACAAGTAGTTCACGCTAGCACAGTGTAATTCCTGTTAGTGATAATGTCCTAGTGGATACAGCCCATCGTTCTGCAGCAGCAATGTGTGTGCACATCTTCATGGTTACCAGCGATCCTCATTATTTATGCTTCAGATGTAAGGCAATGAAACAGGCCAGAGAGGGACTGTCCGAAACATCCACACTCGTTAATACCAAACAGTGACTGGCTTAAGAGGAATATTATCACTCTTCTTACAGAGGCACTTTGTTTCCTCTTACAGAAAATCATGTGCATTTTATTAGTTTGATAATATATGCAGCTTTGTGAGCAACACCGCCAAAAAAATCCTAGCCCTTGAAAAAGGGTTGCCTTCAAAATGCATTGGGAACAAAGAATATAATATTTATTCTGTACGACTTTCTGCACTGATTTTATTGGACAGTGGCTAAAGCTCCTTGGTTCCTTTCCTTCTTTGTCTTGGATTGGGGTCTCGATTCCCCTGTAGATGTACTGACAAGCTGTACATAAATATTTTCAGCATAATTGGAGCCATTTAACACTAGAGACATTCAAGAAGAAACTGGGCATTCATCTGAGTGGGATGGTGTAAACTGGTGTCCCAATGGCCTTCTTGGCCCCTTCCAACACTACTATGATATGAGTCTATGATAAGACTGTTAACAAAAGTAAACACTGCAGGACTTAGAAAAGTTAACAAATTCATAACATTTTAGCAACAGTTCTTCATAGATACCCATTAAAAATTGTTGTGTAGCTTTCTCTTCATTGAAAATTGAAAGTAATATATTGAACCTATTTCATTAAAAAGACACCATAAAATTGATCAAAATGTCCTTTTTTTCATTATCAGCAGAAAAGCATAACAGTAATTCCCACAGCTAGAATTTTGGCTATATAAAGAATTGGTGTTTTGACTTCGTGTTGCAGTGATAAAGTTAGTCTCACAGTAACTAATAAAAATGTGTGATAATAATTAAAGCAGCAGTGACGACTCCTGGTCTTTGTTGGTGAATTCCTGACCAACAGCCTTATTACTATTCCAAGAGACTATGAACTCACATAATTATGCCTTTCAATGTTGTCTTTTGTGCAGACCGGTTCGGACTTGGCCAGCCAGGCAGGTTGCCTGCTTCAATGAATGCCATGCGAGTTCTTAGTACAAGCACAGATTTGGAGGCTGCTGTGGCAGATGCACTGGTAAGAGGGGAAACACAAAATGCTTCCAACACCAGAAAGGGACTTAAAGTTGCCTCCTGTACGTACATCCTCCTCTTGACTTAATCTGTGTCTCTGTGTGTGTGTGCGTGTGTGCGGGCGTGTGCACCCATGCGCACAAGACCCTGTCTAAATGTCTCTTTGAAAATTTGGAATGCATGCATAAGGATGGTTAATGCATTGTTGCACAGCAGAAGAGACAGGGCTGATACAGTTGTCAGTGGTGCCAAGAAGATTGCCTGGGGCATTTGTAATGACAAATGTATGTGAAGAATTACAAGGTTTGACAGTTCTACTGCCCCACTGATTTCAAAGAATCCTATTCTAATAAGTGTGTTTGGGTTAGCAGAACAGTCCTAACAATGTAACAATTAAATACCACTGTAGTTGTTTTGTTGCCACAATCTTTCCTGGGTTCTTGAAGAATATCTAGTCTGTATTTCTGTAATGGTGATGTATTTATGTGTGTGGGGGGGGGGGGGGAGAGAGAGAGAGAGAGAGTTTTTTCTTTGTCAGGGGTGCTATGTTTTTATTATATTGTCATCTTTGGAGAGTTCTGTTCCTTCTGTTGAAAGGTCTCCCAACTTTAATTGCTTTGTCCTTGTCCCAGGGAAGGTGGTGAAGGATGAGCTTAAGTGTCCTCAGAATGCCTTGTCAATGATTCAGCTGCTCTATTTGTGGTTTTAGACCTGTAAGGGTTTAGTTTCCAGTCTGGTAGGTTAGGGGTAGGCAGAAGGTATTTTTGACTCTACTGGTGAATCTCTGGCTGATTTGCAGTAGATCTCCATGAATTTTTGATTCCTAAGTGTGTAATAATAGAAGCAATAAAATTATTTTTCCTTCCTCCCATACCAAATTAAGAAAGCTTGGGGTTAACCAGGCATAGAGTTTTGTGAAGAAAGACTGTGAACTCTGTTCAGTTCTGGTACTCTGAACAAGGTCGAGTACCTAGAATATTTTAAGTCTGTTTGTCTTTTGCACCTGACTTTGGTTAGTAGAATTCAAAGTTCTAACAGCAGATTAAATAGAGCCTGCAAGTCTGAAGTTTGAACGCATTTGTGTAGGTGTTACCCAGAACGTTAATAAGATTTTCTTCTGCTTTTGAAATTGACTATCCTGAAAGATAATCCTTTCCAAATATTGCAGCAGTCGATGTTTACATTTGCTAGGTCTTCTTTATGTAGTTTATGACCTCATGAAAACAGGAAGGAAAAGGTACCCATTCAGCTAGGAACTGTATCACTTTCACCCATATGACAGTAGTCCTGACAATCATGGTGTCAGGGTTGTTTCTTGAAAGCTGTTTGTTGTCTTAGTGTTAGAGTTTAAACTCCTTGTAGCCAGAGGTCTGGAGTAACCATTTGAGAGGCTTTGAACATTATAAACAACTGGCAACAAGAAGATGCACTAGTGATTCGTGCTTCCTCTGTTAATGCTTCCCTGTGTAGCATATAAAGCTGTGACATGAAACTCTCCCCAGCAGATATTCTGTGAGCATGACATGCATTTAGAACTTTATGTGTTACACAGGAAGCACTTGAAGGCAGTACAAGTCCCATGTGTATCCTCTGTCACTACCTCATACCATCGGAAGCTGCCCTTTTGCCTTCCTGTTCAATGGAAGCTCATTTTGTTTTATTTATATTCTTAAAAATTTTAAACATCTTGGTCTGACAGGGCAAAATTTAAAAACCATGTAGAGTTGCTTAGGTAACAGGAGGCTTTTAGTTTGAAGGGAGGGGCTGGGAAATTTTCTTAACTATGTAAGAAAATCTTATTTGTGAAACAAAACATCTATTAATGAAAGCATTGTACACCGTTCTTCATTAAGAAGAAGAGAAAGATCACCAACAATGTATAATTGCAAATGTATAGTGAAGATCTAGTTAACACAACTTCCACCTATGTAGATTAGCCTTAGAGACTGCATAAGAAGACCTTGGGTTTGAGAGTGAAGAATGGGTAGCTGTTCATAGATTTTTACTTCAGTCCGTGACACTTTTGACCGTGACACTAAGCTGACCTTTTGAGCTTAGACAAGAGCTATTTTTCAGCAATCTTGCTTTTTAAAAAGCTGCTTCTATCATTTTTGTAATTCTTCTGGCTATAAAAATATGTTCTCAACTTCAACATCTAAAATTTCATAGATTCTCCTTCTCCTTTATGAAAGGAAAAGAAAAGTCTTTTCTTTTAGTTCCTTTTACTGCTGCTGCTCCCCTTTCACTCTTTATTATGGCTACACTGGAAAGAAGTCAAGCTCCAAGGCTCCAAACAAACACAGAGCAGTCCCTTTTACAAGGATGGTCAAAAGCCAAAGAGTGCGAGCGTGTTTACCTCCCTCATGGAGGTGCTGTTCCACTGCTGACACTAAACTTAATCATCCTTGAGATAACCAGAATGGGAAAACTTCAATCTAGCCATAAGGGAGATGGCTGGGTTTGAGGAAGTCGGGACACTTTGCACTTCAATGAACTAACAGTGCCATCTTCTGCTGAGATGATATGCAGCCCATGGTTAGAATTGATTTGGCCGTGGAAGTAGATGAAAGGGAACTGTGGGAACCTGACAACAGGCCTGTGAAACAAGTGAGAATTATTTGTGGTCCTTCCTTAAGGAGTCCTGCCAAAGTTGATGGGTTGCCATTTTAGAGAGTGGGGATCAGCAATTCCCTCTTGCCCTGCTACAGCTCCTGAATCTGGATGGGGTTATTATAAGCAATAAAGACTTAAATCAGACAGGCCATAGAACAGGTTCCATCTGAAGGAAAAGACAAAGTCCCTGCTTTCCCCTGGATGATGGGGTAGTTGACCCATTGTGGGATGCCTTCTGCGCCCCAGCCCAGAAGGAAACTTGCACACTCCTCCATGCCTTAAGACTCATAGTGAAAAGGTAGCAATGAGAGACCCAAAGTTGGTCCTAGACAACTACATCCATCAAAATATATTTTTTCCTGTTGACATCACCAATTTGAGGACTATCAGGGAAAAGGTTCTGTAGTCTCCAGTATACAAGTGCACCACAGCATCTGCACAAATACCGTTTGCTTTTACTGCAAAGTACTGATAGCTCAGGATGTGGGTGGTGCAGCAGGTTAAACTGTTGAGCCACTGGGCTGTTGATTGGAAGGTTGGCAGTTCGAATCCATGAAACAGGGTGAGAGCCTGCTGCTTTGTCCCAGCTCTTGCCTACCTAGCAATTTGAAAGCATACAAATGCAAGTTGATAAATAGGTTGCACATTGGTGGGAAAGGTAACAGCATTCTGTGCACGTTGGCATTTAGTCATGCTGGCCACGTGTCCACAGAAGCGTCTTCAGACAGCGCTGGCTCTTCGGCTTACAATCTCAGATGAGCACCGGCCCCAGTCACATGACTAGCATCTTTACCTTTACTTACTGATAACTCATCTGCTAGTTGGCAATACAAGCCCAGTCCACAAGGAACCATATATCCTTCAAAAGAGCAAGGTGAAGCCTTTCCACATTGAAGGTATGCAGAACAACAGCCCAATCATCAGAATGACTGAAGCACTGTCTGACGGATGTTTAGATCCTGCAGTAATGGATTCTCTAAAGTCTCAGAGCATGTGGTACTTTTCCCCGCCCCCCCCCCGCCCCCGATTCAGTCAGTTTCCATCTGACTGGAACCGAACAACAAGCCACGGGTTCTGGTGTGGCTTTGAAGGACCCTTGGCCAGGTTTGAATGGCACAGGAAGTGTCACACCACAGGGATAGTTAGATGAATCACGAAACCCACAACTGGTGCACATGGGGCAGGCAGCCTTGTTCGCAAAAGGGCACCCCCCCCCACTACCACCCCGAGAAACAAAGTTGCTCCAAAAAGGCTTTACCTTATGAAAAAAGATGTTGAACAAAACTCTGCAGGTCAGATCCTGTGTCCTCCTGGCACATACTGGTTTTCCTACCTGTAAAAAGAGCTATCTGATCACGGTTTAAGAGAGTATCTTTGTTCTCAATTGGCAAGCATAACATTGGTGTACAGAGAAAGCTCTGCTAATCTGAAGGTCACAGGAAAATCTGAATCTTAGACTTGGCAGACAACTAAGTAAGAGCTCTTGGAGACTGGGATGATCAACCTACAGGGACGAAAGAACTTGGTGGGAAAGGGTTTAGTTATATGTGGCTGGAGCATGCTCTGTTTTCCCAGTTTTTGATTCTGTGCCTGTGGGCCTCAAATGCCATCTTGAGGTGACACATAATCTCAGTCATTCAGATTGGAGGTCTTTTTCCTCCGATTTATATCACTGTTAGCATAACATTAGGCACAGTACTGTTTTCACCTTTCTTGGCTGAGAAGCAGGATTGAAATGCTTCCAGCTCAGTGATAGATCGATTGATTGCTCAGTCAATCGATACATAGAATCCTTATTCTCTCCAAAACAATTAGAGTTGTGCTAGAAAGATGAGAGCAAAAGAGCAATCAGTTTGGTGCCGCACTTTGAATCCATTTTAATTTTACATTGCTTGAAAAAAAAGACTGGCTGAATTTGTATTTTTAATTTGCTAAGACACATTTGCTTGTACATTTTTGTTGCAATAGCAATCCCTGCATAAGCTTCTGACATAATTCTCTATGCTTTCTCCCACCCTTCAATATTTTCCTGCATACAGCTCTTAGGAGACTCCAGGAGCAAGGTACTCGTGCTATCTTGACTTTTGTTTTCCTTTTTGGTTTACTTTAAATTTTTGCTTTCCCTGTTTCAACATACAGAGCTGTATTTATATGTTAGTGCCCAGGTCTGCAGAATTGAAATCTCAGAAGTGTAGCCTGTATCATTCACTTAATGGCTGATTTTTTGAACCAGTCAAACAGTGGAGCCAAGAAATCAACCAACCAATGAACTATGTTGAACAACTCTACAACATGGAATTTGTGGTGAATTATATCAAGGAAAAAGGGAGTAAAGAATGGAAAAATGTAGACATTGGCTCTCAATGGCTAGTACATTACATAGTCAAGAAATGTTAGCTATAGACAAGGGTTAGAGTATCCTAGAGTATCAAATTCTATGCCCTCAACATTTGAAGCCTTGACAGCTTCTAAGCTATATTCTCCTACCCATTTCCAAGCTTTTATTTTCTAAAATGAGGAGTAAAAAGGTTTTTTTAAGGAATCAGATAATAGCAGATGCCAGATATTACTGTATTGTAGTTATTTTGCAAGTATGTGAAAAAAGATCTAGCCCTGAATATAGTTGTAAAGCACAATTGGCTGTTCCTAAGAGTCTTTTAAAATAGCTGTGCATATTTTATGAGGTTAAAATTTAGTGCATAACATGGCATTCTTCTGAATGAACTGTCATTGATCTAAGACTTGCATTACAAAGTAGCCCAAAGGAATGTGGTTTCAAGTAAGAAAGCAAAATGCTTAAATAAAAACAGATTTTCAAACCAGCCTAAAAATATCACATACGAGGGACTGCCTCTAATCTTTCATAAATGTTCACAATTTCATCTCTTATTACATGGTCACCCTGCCAACTCTCATCCCTCCTCCTGATTATTGGAGGCCTTAAGGCTTTGTCGGGGTCATCAGATTTCCCTGCGCCTTGGTCATTTGTTCCTGAGGTTTGAGCTTCATTTCAGAAGGATCTCTACTGGGAGGTGAACACATCCTTCTCCAATTCACACCTAGATTAACTCACATTGTGTATAATCTCAGCATTTTGCATAGCCAAATTATCATTTTTGCAGACCTATGTTTCAAGGAAATTGCCTCCAGTGAAAAGAATTTGTTCTTTCATGAGGATTCGTCTGTTGTATCTGTTCATATATTTTGTTGTTTGGCTATTCCTCACTGACTCTCGATGCGGTTTAGTTGCAATGCCGTTATGCCATAATTCCCAAACTTCTTCTCTACTGTACTATTTCCAGTTTTTGCTCTCAAGTAATCATGCTAGGCCTACTAAGTCTTGGGTTTATTCCCCCTCCACCACCACCCAGAAAAAGCCGGTGAGGCGACGGTATGAGCCATATGGGATGTATTCTGACGATGATGCAAACAGTGACGCCTCGAGTGCTTGCTCCGAGCGTTCCTATGGCTCCCGCAACGGAGGCATCCCACACTACCTGCGGCAGACGGAGGATGTGGCTGAGGTCTTAAACCACTGTGCTAGTTCCAACTGGTCTGAAAGGAAGGAAGGGCTAATAGGCCTGCAGAACCTGCTGAAGAGCCAGAGGACACTGAGGTGAGCGGGTTCATAAATTCTAAGAAGTACCCTTATTTTTTTAATCCAGGCAATAATGCATACCTGCTTTCTCTGAAATACCAGATGCTGCTGCTGCTAGATATGTGAAAGATGTGTAGGAGGCCTGAGCTGCTTTGAAGATACTTGATAGATAAGCATCCACATCCCCCACCTTGTTGTTATCGCATATGGCAGTAAACAGGGAGATTCAGAACTACAGAAGATGCCCATACAATACGTGCCACAAAACTGATAAGCCAGTAGTAACACTGGATGTAAATAATTAAGGACACAAACAAGTACATAAGGAAAAAAGTAAGCAGGACCATATCCCACTGCAGAAAAGTGTTTAAGAATACTAAACATGAAAATGGGCCACTGGCCAGTTGGAAAACCACCTGGACTGGAGCCTTCCATTCGGTAGCTCCTTCTTGTGGAATTCTCTCCCTCTGGGTGTCAGGCAGGTCACTGGTCTGACACTACTTAGTTTCTATTTTATTTTTATTTCGACAACCCTTCCCCAATTGATCAGCCACCAATTTTATTGCAACTCTGTTATTTTTATATTGCATTATATTCCTTTTACTTGTGCACCCCTCCAGAATCTCTTTAGATGTGAAGTGGTATATGAATGTTGTCAATAAAATAAAAATGGGAAGAGACAAGAAAAGGAAGGTGGGTAGCATTTTGGGACTGCGGGGAGGGTTGCCAATAAATGGATTCTTGGGAGATAAATCTGCTTAGGGCAATTTTGGTGTGCATCAAAGCCATGAACTGATGTAAAGGAGGAAGACTTGAGAAAGATATGTTTATAGTAGAGGGAAGGATAAGCCAGAGTAAGGTAAAATGTGCAGAACAGGAGACCTGGTAGCCAGGGATTTTAGGGGTTCATTCCTTGGTGAAAGCCTGAATTTGCAACTTACCAGGAAGGGATGCTGCAGTTGGACAGAAAAAGGAGCACTTGTCCACTGCTACATTGTTCTTGTAAAGCCAGAAGATATGATTGAAGGAAGTGGGAATAGTAAGAGGAATATATCTGTGATCACAGAAAAGATAGTAGTATGTGTTCACTTCCCTGAAGTCTCATCAGATCCTTGGTTACAGTATTAAAAGGATTTAGCGGTACCATCTGGGGAAAAGACGATGATATTTTTTTCCTTTCCAACTCAAAGGAGGATGGCTGCGTACATTTAAATAGAATATATACCTTGCCAGATTATTATTTAGAGGGGCATGCCAAGGGCCTTTTCAACTTTTATCAAATGATATCATGGAAACGGCAGAAAGTAAGAGCTTTGGCAGAGGCAATGGAAAACACCCTACACAGAAAGTGTTGCGAGCATGACAAGGTCAACCTGCAGTTTCTGAAATGAAGTCTTCTCACAGGACTGGAAGCAGTCCATACTGCTGTTTCTGAAATAGTGGTGAGGTTGTGGGCTCAAACTGTATTTGATGGGACTATAAGTCTTGTGACTGGGCCACAAAGGGTTGCCTTTTCATGGTTTCAAGAGATCCAGTGTCGGCTTTCTTTTGTTTTGTGTTTCAGTCGAGTTGAGCTGAAAAGGTTGTGTGAAATCTTCACACGCATGTTTGCTGACCCACACAGCAAGGTAAAATATTTTTTCTGATAAACCTGAATAATTTGTGGGTATGCCTATATTCTTAAGCATTTAATTACATGGTACATGGACATTATCAAAACTTCAGTCTTCTTAATCCCTTGATGGCTGTATTATGTTTCAAGATAGATTTGACTTCTGGTGTAAAGTTCTTTGGGCTTCCTACTGAAGGAAGTTAGGGTATAAATGAATTACTCCACTGCAGTCAGGAGCAAAATATTTTAGCATTTGTTCTAAATCAGAGGTCCTCAAACTTTTTTACAGGGGGCCAGTTGACAGGGGTCAGCAGTGGGTGCAGGCTGCCAAGGCAGTGCCGGTAGGGGGGGGCACAGGCTGGTGTGGGGGCGGGACAAGCACGCACACATGCACGCGCAAGCGAGGCAAGGTGGGGATGGAGGGGGGTACCTGGGGCGAGGCACCGGCTTGCTCACGAGGAGATCGTTTTCTCATCGACCTCATTGTGAGCAAGCTGCTCACCTGCACGCATGCCCAGTGAGTGTAAAACCTGTGGAGCAGGCCTGTTTAATGGGCATGGCGGGCCGGATCTGGCCCGTGGGCCTTAGTTTGAGGACCCATGTTCTAAATAGTAGCTTGAGGATTGTTATCTGTCCATGGTAAATACTTGGAGTCTTTTTTTTACTTTCCATAAGTGAACAAGTAATGCATAATCTAGAAGAGAACATATCCTAGGATAGGTTGTTTCAAAAGATGCTCTTCTATCAAATTCTAAATACTTGTCATCCTTTGTTAAGAAAAGTATTATGTCATAAAGTCGTCTTGTACTTTCCGTGATTTTTTTTATTTTTCTGGGTGCAAGGGGAAACTGCCCCAGAGCAGTTTGATTACATTTTGTATATCTGTGTACTAACGAATGGTTTGTTTTGTTGCATGGCCTGTTTTGCGGTGGAATTCACAACAGAGAGTAAGTGTATTCTCCTTCCTCCCTCACCCCCACCTCCCAATCTCACCTCTTTTATATACTTCAATATGGCACAACCTGGAATTTACATTACCCTCTATTTAAAATAGATTTAGCTCATTTTTAAATATTGTTTTTGTTTCTTAAAGCTTGATTTGTCCCTTGATTTCTATATCACTTACAGGTTTTCAGCATGTTTCTTGAAACCCTGGTTGACTTCATCATTATTCACAAGGATGATTTACAGGATTGGCTCTTTGTCCTCCTAACACAACTACTCAAGAAGATGGGTGCTGACTTGCTAGGATCAGTGCAAGCAAAAGTGCAGAAAGCTCTGGATGTAACAAGGTAGTGTGTCTGCAGATAGCAATGGGTGACTTCTGAACTTCCCTGTCATGCAATTTCCTTTCTTCTCAATGAGTATTTATTTAGACATATTGGTCCAGTTTGGATGGACCACCTATCTACCCTCCAAAGAGGTTGGATTGCTACTCTCATTAGCTATGCTACTTGGGATGAAAGGAGTTGTAGTCTGGAATGCACCAGGATGGGGAAAACTGTGCTAAAACATAGTTTAACATTACAGGAATGAGTCTGCAGGAGCTTGGGGCACAATTACTGCCCACTTTCCTCTCTTCTGACACTCATGTATGGACAAGATTGGAAGAATCGGCATCCTGATTTAATGTAACCACTGTTTGGTGTTGCATCTGAACCAGTGCAAACTGTAAATATTAATTTTTTCTGACAGAACCCAAACTTGTTTTCTGATTTTAGAAATCAGAAGTAGACCTGAGAACAGAGGCTTCCAAACTTTTTCCTCACAGCACTGCTGGTGGAGGAGGGAAAGCCTGCAGGCAAGGGTTGAGTGAGCCCATTCCAACAACAGTAAGCTGTGGTTTAGTGTTATGTCCAAACTAGGCTATTATAACACATGACATATTTCATGAGATAACCGATTTACTTTCTCTTAATATCTATGACAGTTATCACTTATACTGATGAAATGTGAACAGAGCCTTGAAGTATGATGTATCCAAAGAGCAGTGTCTGATGATCCCAACAGTTAATATAAAATAGTGGGCAGAATTCAGCAGAGTGCTTAATCCTCCCCCAAGCTGTGTGTACCACTGATTCAGTTACATGAGCAAGACGAACCATTTGTTCAGTAGACATTTAACACTTCCCAGGAAAAGCCACAGAATGAGCAGAGATGCCTTCATTTCAATTTGGAAAGGTCTGTGGAGATCCTTTATGTAAGCCCCACAAATCTGCCTCACTGCAGAAACAAGCATTTTTTCTTGCTTATATTTATCCCCAAATATTAGATCTTTATTCCACAAGCAGTGGATGTCACTTGCAGATGAGAATTGGCAGTGTATAAGAGAATTGGAAGAGGCATAAGCACACCATTGTTTTCTTCTCCTGGTATCTGATTTTTTAATCTTAACTGTTAGGAACAACTTCTCTTTGGATAAAGTCTGTTATGAGGTTTCACCTTTTTTCAGCAGCCAATAGTTTAAATTCTGTGCTTAGAGTACATAAGCTGGCAAACCTGATTCATTAGACATTATTCTGATTGAGCTCTCTCTCTCTCTCTTTGCAAAGGGCTTAAAGGAAAGCCCTGTTCAGATAGACAATGGTTGCATGTAGCAATGCTCAAGAGACAGTGGGCAGCATTTGTCTGTGTGGGTTTCTGTATTTTGTTCTGTCTTCTAATATGTGACTAGCAGCTGCTGCATATTTCACTTTGACTATGCTAGACAAGTTCTAGCAGGGTTGTTGATAAACACTGCATCCATATTTCAGATTGTGCATAAATCTTGTAACTAGTAACAGCATTTGTCATCCTTTTCTTGTCTTTCCACTCCAGGGATTCTTTTCCATTTGATCAGCAATTTAATATTTTGGTGAGGTTTATTGTAGATCAAACCCAAACACCAAATCTTAAAGTAAGTAAAGGCTTTGCAGTTCCAGTGGGAAATTATTGTGGAGAAATGTAAAGCATAAAATTTGTCTGCGTAAAAATGGAGAGGATGATCTTTCATCCAGGGGTTATATTTTAAGAGTTTTCAGATCACCGAGAGAGGGCTTTTCTAATCTAAAAGTTGATGGGGTTGAGCAGGGAAGGATTTTGAGCTTTCTGCGTTTGTGATATTATCAGTTACTCACAGAAATATTTTACTCACTTCAGGTAAAAGTGGCAATCCTGAAGTACATTGAATCATTGGCCAGACAGATGGACCCAACTGATTTTATCAACTCCAGTGAGGCAAAACTTGCAGTTTCGAGGATTATTACTTGGACAACAGAACCAAAGAGCTCAGATGTGAGAAAGGTGAGTTGATGAAAGGGGATCGCTGGCAGAACTCTGTCAGTTCACATTAAACTATTTGAACCATTGTGAAATTGAAAAGAGAAGTCTGTTGGGTGTGATCCAATAGACTGTATAGAAGTGGCCATGGGCAGAAGGCACGTTCTATCTGTGGAAGCTTTCTGATCTAGCAAAGTTTTTCTACTGGTGGAAAGGAACCAGTTTTCATTAATCCATCCCCTTCATCTCCAGGCCATTATGCCTGCCAAACATCTGCTCTGTAGAGCTAAGGGACCCTTTGCAGTAGTGCAGGGCAGTCCCCTGTCTCTGCCCACAAGGGAGGGTTTTTATTTATTTTTTTATTTGAAGCATTTCTGCACCATCCTGAATCATTGATTCCAGAACAGTTGTTCAAATTAAAACAAACTGAATACAATAAGCATTAAAAAACCAAACAGCATAGAAACAATGGTACAGCAGTAAGAAGGACTCCTTACAAAATTACTGGATGCTTAAAAGGTCTGGAAAAATAAGAAAGTCTTTGCCTGGCTTCTAAAAGATAACAATTTCTGGCCAGCAAGCTTCTCTGTGGAAGGAATTCTGGAGATGGGATTCCACAGCTGAAAAGTCCTCTGACAACCCTTCATCAGCACACCATCTTTATACATATATTTGCTTGGTTAATCGAGATACAATATTTAGTTTCTTATGCATGATAAGGATGGAAATGGTTTGCAAGAAACTCATGACCTTTCTTCCAATGTATACTGCAGTACAATTTTTACTGCATCTGTGAAGGAAGATGTGCTTCCCCTCTCTGCTTTGGTATTTTTGTGCAAGATAGCAAGTTTTTCCATGTATTTTTTCAGCTTCATCAGTCCTGATGCCTTCTTGAAGTTTTGAATTACAGCCTCCAGCATCCCTGGCCTTTTCGCAGGTTGGCTGGGGCTTATGGTTTAGGAAGTCCAATCATCTGGAGAGCACCATGTCAGGGCAGGCTTCAGTTGACCCTGAGCCTCTTAGCTCATTCTTGAACAGACTTGTACAGCAAGACAGTGTATAGTAAGGCTTGCGTATGTGCTTGAGAGAGGGGCTTTTAAAAGGACAGCTAGTACCCAACTAACTACATCTATACCAACAAAAATGGATATTTGCAAGGACATGGCATGTATTTTCATGGAACAAAAACTGTTTCCTATAATGATGCAGATACATAAACATTTCTTCTGATTTATGGATCTCTTTGTGATAGGAAAGATACATATAGTGAATTATGAATTTGTTTCCTTGCCAACGAAATGATACTATAAAATTCATGTTAGCTAGTTCTGGGAAGTTCCCAGTTCAGCCATTAGGTGCCATCATTGTTATGCGCAAGCCAAAAAAAGGTAATTTCTGGTGAACTGTTGTGACAGCAAGGTTCAGATAGGGGGAAAAAATACAGTCTAGGAATGCTGGAGAAGACAAGACAGGTGATACATGAGCCTGCAGAAACTGGAGAGAGGGAGGCAGTCAGAAAAAATAAGCACAATGGAAAAATAACTGTTTGAACAGAGATGTTGTTCAAGAGACAAAATATACATTTGCATGGAAAGGAAAAGTTTTCAGAACTGTATAGTCTTCATCATGGAACAGCATCCATTATGGTATCACTCACAATCCTTACCGGGGTCAGCACTGTTGACAATGAAAATGATCAGGGAGAGAAGGTATTTGCAAAGCTTTGGGTGTTGTTGATTGTTTTACTTTAGCAAGAGCATACATTGTCGCTTTGCAAAAGTATGCGTGTGTGGAGGGCATGGGCAGTACTCAAGGGGATCCCTCCACTTCAGCTGCTTTCTTTACACTTGTGGAGCAGAGCTTTTGTGCTTCTAAAAATAACTCTGAAAATGAGTTGGAAACACTTGTTTCCAGATCAGGACAGGTCAGCAGAACTCCCTTCTGTGAACTCTGCTGACATGCCCCATTTCAGAAATGAGTGTTTCCATTCTCTGGACACTATTTTTAGAAGCACAAAAACCCTGTTGTGCAAACTTCCTCACGTACATGGCCATGGAAGGATATAACCCCTTGGATGGCAAGAAGTTACTCCAAGTAGTAGAACTTGGTATCAACTGATGAAATCAATTATTATGTACCATGTGGACTAAAATATAAATAGTACTTCACATCAGCTTATAGAACTGATGGCTATAAGATGTTGTGAGACCACTAACAAAGAGGATAGGTAGAAACAGGTATTCTACCTGCAGGCAAGCCTTGTTTGCCCCATCACAATCTTGCAGCACTCAGTCTAAGCATTTGCAGGAGTGATGCATGGGAAGGAGGGGCTAGGACTTTCCTCGTCACACTGATTCTCTCTCCAACTTCAGAAGAGCAAGGAGTGTGGAGAAAGTTGCCAGCTTGTGGGGAGGGAACTCTTCTTCCAACTCCAGAGGCTGGAAGAAGGCCTTATCTTGGCCTTATCACAGCCACTTTGGACAAGGCCCTTGGCTAGCAAGAGCCTGCTTTCATCAACACTCTCATTGATATTTTAAAGTACTTGTTTTAATGGGTTTGGAATGCAATGCTATTAAATTAGTCTTGTTTCCAAGACAGTGGTAATCATTTTATTTGTTTGTATGTTTTGAATGAGGAAAGCTATTTTGGCTAGTTCATGTGCTTTGATTTTTACAAATAGAATGAGTATTGTTTGGCAGGAGATTCCAGACAGAGAAATGAAATTGAACACATAGTGCATATAACTTATGTCATTGCCTGCCACAAGATAAGTTGGTGGTCAGTAGACAAGATGTCTTTAAAAAATCAGACCACACCAGCTATTAGCCAGTTCACCTGATTCCAGGTCCACATTCAGAGGAAGTATACCTCTGCATACCTGTTGCTGGAAGCAACAAGTGAAAGAAGGCTTTTACCGCTTGCTTGGCTAGAACTGTACAGCCACTGAGAAACAGAAAGTCAACAAGATGAATCCTTAGACTGATTTAGAACAGGGAATCAAGAGCCTATTTATTTATTCATTATATTCCACCTTTTTCCCTTTCAAGGAACTAAAAGCAGCTTACCTTATTTCCTCTCAACAACCTGTGAAGGAGTTTGGTCTGAGAGTGGGTTACTGGCCCAAAGTCACCCAGTGAGCTTTGTTGCTGAATGGGGATTAGAACCTGGATCTCTCAGATCCCGGTCCAGCTTCTAAGCACCACATTGCACTGTCTTTTGTGGAACAGTGTTTGTCTGTAGGGCAAGTCTGGAAATCCAGATAACTCTGGAATCCAGACATGTAGGTGTGGACGAAAATGTTTGAGAGGGACAATCAAGCCTGCTAGCATTGCTACAGTAAAAGGCTGGCTAATCAGCTCTCAGCTAGGTTGCTTTGCTGCTGCTTGGCTGCCTCTGGCTGCGATCCTGTGCACATTTGCCTGGGAGAAGGCCCCACTGGAAACAACTGGGACTTACTTCTGAGTAGATATGCATAGGATTGTATTGTTAGTAGTTCTTACAATCTGCATTAACATGATTCTTGCCTAATGCTCTCAAGCGTTCAGTACCCATTTACTTGGGTGTCCGGAAGAAAACAACTCCTGGCCAAAGTGCTTTGAGGGATGCAGTGCAACTCTCCTGTACTTTCTTTTGCCAGTAAGGAGGAAAAAGGCAACTAATATTTAGCAATGGCTATTACAGGGGTGAATTAACATCTGCAAATTATTTTATGCTTGGTGAATGCTGCAAGAGTAAAAGAAGAAAGTGCATAAAATTAAGTAGCACTGAAATAATAGTGAAGTTTCCAGGAATACTGAGAGGAGGAGATCGTTGATTTGATCTGCCTTCTTAATTTTTTTTGACATTGGTTTCAAATCAGAGAAGCATCCCTCCCCGGTGCTCATGCAAAACTGCTTCCACATCACCCGCAAAGGCACCATCCACCTGCCTCCTTTGCAAATGCAGCTCTAATTGCTTTTAGCGATTGGTCTAAAATACAAAACTGCATTTAGATATCAGTCGCTGGACATCTTGTGCTTGCTTCTACTAAATGATGTTCCCTTTCCTATTTGTTGAACTCAGACCATGCATAGTTGGGTAGGTGAGGATATGCCAGCTAGATCAACAGCAGCCTCATCAGGTCCTGGTGAAGGAAACTTGGAAGAGAAGTGTAAACAGGTAGACAAAAAGTAGTGTGCACTAATCATAAGATGTTACTTTCTGTTTGCAGTCTAGAGCTCTAATCTAGTCTAGATCTGTGGAAAGAGATTGACTGGGGGCCTGAACAAATTCCGTGGAGACTGTGTGTGCAATAACTTAATGTACGTTTGTTTTTGCCATAGAGTTTGACTTAGTGTAACTGAGATCTTTATTGTCTAAAGAGAGTCTGCAACCAGTTGCAATGCTTGATGAGTTTCCATCACAGGGTGGTGTCGAAAATGACAAAGGATCCCAATCCAGAGTGTGCCTGCTTGTACATCCATGTTCAGCATGTATGCCCTTTGGATGTTAGCCCAACACAATTCCTCCTTATTAGAGGGCACAAAGACAAAGGATACCTGTGTAGAATTATACGGAAGGGTCACTTGGGTTGTACCAAAGGGCTTATGCTCTTCCTCAAAAGGGCATCTGCAGTCAGTCCCTTTGTTTGAGACCATTTTGGATTCTAGTATATGCCAGTGGTCTATTCCCAGGGCTAACATGGCTTGTTCCAGAACCACCAAGGCAGCTGAAAAGCAAAGGAGCACTGGACCCACTGTGTCCTGCATTGCCTGATTTAGGAACAGAAGTTCTTCATGCCCGCTGCGTATCACACATAGGGGCTCCGTTCCTGCATGGAACCTGTTGTCGGGAAGCTGAAGTGTTAGTTTGGGCAGGGGCCCCTCTCCTTGCTGTTCCCTGCACCCATGGGAGGGCTCCCACCCATTCCCTCAGTTCCTTTTCGACCGCCTCCATGCCTAGATTGGGAAGTGCTTCTCCCCTCAACTTGTATTTTTTTCAGCCGCTCTTACCTTTTTCTTTGTACCACTTTCCACTCCTTGGCT